CAGGATAGGCTCCAAAGCTACACAGAGAAACCCTGTCTCAGAAAAACCAGAAAAAAAAAAAGAAAAGAACGAAGTACAGAGACTCATAACTGGTCAAAATACAGAAAATAATGACTGTTGCGTGAAGAAGGAAGGGGAGTGGTGTGGAATGTGCTAGCTTCGGGGTCATGACAGGGTCATTGCATCCCTGAACTCAGGACAGTTGTGATTACCAACCAATTCAGGAGCTCTGCAAGATTGGACCTATCAATATTCTGTCATGGAAGGGGAAGGTGCTCACAGGGCCCCACCCCTGAGGATTATAGGGAGATTAACAGTTGATGGAGGAGGGAAAAACATTTCTTCAGTGGTGCAGTCACAAAAGGGATCATGTTTCTAGAGTGAATGTGCATGTATGAGAAAAACAAACTAAAATGCACTAATATGTACAGTAATGTTAACAGAAACATTTAAAAACAATGATCACAATTATAGCCAAGAGCAGTGGCCCCAATTTAACCCAAGCAGTGGGAGGTGGGGACTGGGACAGAGTTCAAGCCTGTTCTCAGACACAGAGCAAATTCAAGGCCAGCCAGGCTACCTGAGGCTTTGTCTCAAAAAACATAAACAAACAAAACAAACAGGGCCACCAAGATGGCTCACTGGGTAAAAGTGCTTGCCAGCAAACCTTAAACCTGAATTTCATCCCCAGGACCCACACAAAGGAAGGAGAAATTGTCCTTAAACTTACATGTAAGTGCAAGTGCTATGACATGTATGCACAAGCACACACACAAAGTAAATAAATGTAATTTTAAAAAAAAGGACTCTCATGACACTCTTTTCAGAACAAGACAAAGGAAATGGCTCTCAAAGTCATACCTGTACTACTCACAATAGCTGAGAAGCAGAAACAACATGTCAATCCATGATTACGCATGTGTAGTGCTTGGAAAAGCCAAAGAACTCAACAACAAAAGAGCCAAAGTAGAAAACGCAATGCAAATCAAACTCACAAAAAAGGTGGTTGTAGTGGCTCAAACTCACAGTCCTAGCAGGAGGAAAGTCTCAAATGTGAGGGCAGAGCCTGTCTCAAACCAGCAAGCCACTTCACTGCTCTTAGGAAGGTTATGTCTTAAAAGGAAAACCCTTGTGCAAGGGCCATGTTAATCTTCTCTGTATCGTTCCAATTTTAGTATGGAGGGGGTGAGGGGTAAAGGAAGTTGGGAGAAGGGGTGGAAGCTGTGGTTCGTATGTAAAATAAATTTAAAAAATGATGAAAAAAAGTTAAAAAGAAAAACCCTGGGAAGTGAACCTGTGGCTGTTTCTAAGGATAAGCCAAATCATCATGACTCCCCAGTCATGTTCCAAAGCTTGTTCCTAAGTCATGTTCATAAGCCCCAAGGCTTGAAAAAACATTCATACAATTACATGCACACACAAGCACAGAAGCAAGCCAAAAAGACAGAAACAACTCAAACGTCATTACAGAGGAAAAGAGCTTAGTTTGAGACATGGTTTTGTTTTGGAAATAGAGATGATGGCTGTCCATGAACATGAATGTGTTAAGTGCCACCAAACTGTTCATTTCAAAGTTTTTCTTTGTTGACTGAATTCTAACTCAGTGAATCATTTATTTATTGATCTGTATGTATACTAGGGAGTTTTTTTTTTTTTTTCAAGACAGGGCCTTACTATGTAGAGTCCAGGCTCACCTTAAACTCATAGATGTCCACCTACCTCTATCTCAAGTACTGGGATTAAAGATGGAATCTACCACACCCAGCTGATCATTTTAGAAACAATGAACTCCTAACACACAACATGAATAAAACATAAAACATATCCTGTTGAGCAAAAAGGTAGATTCAAAAGAACACACGTGAATCCATTTTAAAGGAAGTTTAACAGTGAGCAAAACTAACGCATGAAGGTAGAAGTGAGAACAGGTGTCTGTGGTTGGGACTGATTACAAGGAATGATGGATATGCTGTATGCTCTGCTTGGTGTTAGCTGAACAAGAATATATGTACACTTGTCAGAACTTACTGAATTTTGTCTTAAGGTTGTTACATTTATCTAAATAAAAAATTATACAGTTCACCATCTGGACCATTTTATATGTTTATTTTACATTTATCCAAATAAAAAATTATACAGTTCACCATCTGGACCATTTTATATGTTTATTTTACATTTATCCAAATAAAAAATTATACAGTTCACCATCTGGACCATTTTATATGTTTATTTTTTATTTGTCTATTTGTGCATGCATGTGTGTGCACACAGAACACTTGTGGAGGTCAGAGGGCAACCTGATAAGAATTTGTTTTCTACTTCTACCTTTATAAGGTTCCAGTGATCAAACTCAGGTCCAATGGCTTGTGCAGGAAGTGCTGTATGCTAAGCCCTCTTACTTGCCCCTTGAATAAAATGTTTATAGCTCTTTTGAGTATATATAAAATGACCACAGTCACAAACATTCTTACCACCTGCAGGTTTCCTCCTATGTCAATCTCCAAGGAACTGTGGGAGTACTTTCTATTACCGTAGATTAGCTTTCATATACATCACTTAATCACAAGAAAAACACGTTGGTTTTAAAGGAAAGAAATTTAAACACCTAACACAGAACTCTGTTCATGGTAACAATCATCCTATGCTTGTGTCATTTTACTTTGGGGCAGATTTCCAAAACTATGGGGTCCATACCTAAAGTCAGTCGGCCTGACATTGGGTAGAAATAGGCTTAGACCTAACAGTGAAAGCCAATACAGAACACTAGCTGCAGGAGTGCTACTTAGTCTCTATACAAAGAAGGTGCAAATCACATTCTATTACTGCACAATGTGGTGACTCTTCACTCTTGATCACAACTGAGAGTAATCCTAGACAAATACATACCCTCAAAATTATTCCCAATTCTGTTTACTAAATTTATCCTACTGTATGTTTGGCAGATTTATACAAGTGCCAAGAATTCCACTTCTAACTTAGAGATGAAAACTTACAAAAAGCCCACATTGTTTACACTTTAACAACAACAACAAAAAAAAACCCCACACAACTGGGTAAACTTAACAACAATAACAAACTTCTCTTTGCAACAGATGGAGACTATTACAGAAAACTACACCAACGAAAACACAGAGTTGTAGAGTCCTGTCCTAGCACATACATCTACAATCCAACTCCCACTCAGTCAACATTGCAGAAGGAAGGGCAGAAAGACTTAAGAGCCGGAGGATCAGGGAGTTTGCAGTAAGATGTGTTTCCTAGGAATGGCTGAAGCTATACCCATAAAGTCTCACCAGCATGACTGTCTATTAAAAGAGGTCATGAATTTGAAAAAAAGCAAGACCAGGGTATATGGAAGAATTTGAAAGGAGCAAAGGGAAGGGAGAAATTATGTAATTAGTTTCGAAAAGAACTTAAAAAAAAAAAAAAACCCAAGATATCAAAAACCTGTTTCCTGGTCTTTGGGCTAAGATAAAGTGAAGACATACTACAAAAGCAAATAGATGGGAAGTACTAAACTCCAGTAAGACATATGCCTCTGCTTGGTGAGCCAAACCAGGGACCACTTTATTCCCCTGGGGCAAGGTCCAAGTAGAGGTGCACGATTGCACATCACAGTGCATTTTGTAGTAAAAGGACAAACTTTAGTGGCCGAGGGAACTGTGGAGTAAGTGGCCTGCCCACCAGGCTTCCCTACCTACCAGCATGGCTGCTCACTACTATCTGTAAAGTTCCAGTCGATCTAACTCCCTCACACGGACCTACATGCAGGCCAAACACCAAAGTACATAAAATAAAAAATAAATTATTTAAAAAAGAAAAACAAACCTAAAACAATGAAGATCAGAGATAAATGGAACAATTCAGCAGAAAGTTCAAAATATACAATGCAAAAATTGACAAAATAGGTGGCAGGTACCGTACCTGCATAAGTCCCTTGGTTTGAATCCCAGTACCTTATACACAAGACACACACCAACTCACTCAGACAAAACAAAAACTTAAACACCTAAAACTGAAACTATATTACTCCTAATTAAAAGTTTGATGTTTTCTTCCAAATTAAAGTGTGGTTACCATCTCCCATGGAAATACCCATTTCCTATAAGAAAGATTAAATCTTTCTTACTAACACATAAGATGAAAATGTTCTTGCCCTTGGCTGTTTAGCATGAGTCTCTTTAAGACATCCTCATTTCACTGATGAATTAGACATCTAAACTGTAACCTAGAGCCAGGCTGACCATGCATTGGCATATTTTAGAGTGAAGGAAGACAGTTACTCAGGCCAAAAGGCACTCACTGGATTTCTTCAAAGAGGTAAGAATTCCTAATCAGCCAGGTGTCTTGGCACTCGCCTTTGGTCCCAGCACTTGGGAGAGGCAGGTGGATCACTGTGGAGTTCAAGGCCAGCCTGGTCTACAGAGACTTCCCAGCCAGCAAGGGCTACATAGAAAGACCTATCTAAGGGAAAAAAAAAAAAAAAATGCCTAAGCACTCTACTTCTAACCTCAAAATCCTGTGATCCTACAATTGTTTTACTTCATTACCATTTTCCCTAACAATATTTGAACTGACATTCCCACTTTTAGAAACCTCTGTCTAGACAGCTAAGAGGCTCCTTCAAGTCAGTTGAGCTTTGGAATGACTTTTCCCCACAAAAGTATAGAGCTGGGCATTCTGGATTTCATATTGAAAAAAGCAGTTTGAGTCTGCAACTGACCAAGATTTATTATTTAAGCACCAGGATTCAGCCTTTAAATTAGGTTTCAGCTCAAATAATGGAGAAATCTACCACTTGTGATTTGGGGGACCTAACTCCCACACCTCATGGCCTCTGCAGGAACCAGGTAAGCACATGGTACACGTACATACATGTAGTGAAAACACTCATACACATAAAAACAATTTAAAAATATTATACCAATAGTTCATTCAGGATATCAGAAGTCAAATATAGAATAATTTCAGTCTTAAACATGGCTATTAATTTTCTATTCTAAGTAGTACGCAAAAATAATCAATATGAAAGTGAATACAGATTTCAAAAAATTGTAAAATGTGGGCTGGGAATGTAGCTCAGTTGGTAGAGTGCTTGCCTGGTATGCAGAAGCCCTGGGTTTCATTCCTGGCATCCAGTATTCAGCCATGGAGACCAATGGCTAAGACCCCAGGATTCAGAAGGCTGCTGGATCAGAAGCTGAAGGTTATCTTTGGCTACATAGTAAGTTCAAATTCAGCTGAAGATAAATGAAACCATGTTTAAAAAAAAAAAAAAAAAAAGAAAAAAGCCAGGTGGCGGTTGTGCACAGCTTTAATCCCAGAACTCAGGAAGCAGAAGCAGGTGGATCTCTGAGTCCAGCCTGGTTTACAAAGCAAGTTCCAGAACAGCCAAAGCTGATACACAGAGAAACCCTGTCTCAAAAAATAAAATAAATAAAATAAAACAAGCCAAAGGGGGAAAAAAAGAATCACAAAATGGAAAATATGTATATAGAAAATTCTAAAGCAAACCTACAAGAAAATAAAATTGAGACATTTTAAAGAAAACTATAAAGAATTGTGAAAGTAGAGAAAAAGATGCCCATATATATATATATGACCCCAAAGGATGATTTTTTCTCTACATATATATTGTTAGTTATTAAAGTAAACAAAATATATACAAGAGTGATTATTGAAACAAACACACATGAACCAAAAATCAAGGGTTGGTTATTGATTTGAAAAGGACATTAGTTTTTTTATTGTTAAATTCGATTTATTCATCAGAACGTCTACTTAACAAGCAGCTTTAACATAACATGATTAAGAAGTAATACAGGCAGAAAGAAAATGATTTCTTATGCACATTAATTTTAAGTAAAGAAAATAAAGCAACCTTTTCATGGAACAAATAGCCCAGTAGCTCCTGCTCTCTTACATCAAAATTTATCTAAAATAAACAAAAAAGAAAAAAAAGAAAACAAAAAGATCCAGAGTCACTCGATGTGTTAAGAATAGTTGGATTACTATTATTAAGTAAAAGTTACATACAATTTTAAATATTAGCATGTTAAGATAATTTTTGTGTTAACAGTAGTCAAAATTAAAACATGGTCAGCACTTTGTCTATCAAGCAAAACTAGTATTTTTGTAGTGTGAATGTTAGGTTAGCTTGCATTAATCTAATATTCCCCATGGGGAAAATAAGGAAGGTCCTGAGAAGAGAAGTGGATTTGCTCAGAGTTAAGAAGTTGCCAGCTGAGCATGCATGAGATCTGGGATCTCCTCCAGTGCTCCCAGAGCAGGAAACAAGCTGCACAATGACAGAAACCAAGCCTCATCTCCATGCAATTTCACCTCTGCATTCTGACTGGAGAACCGCTAATACAAGATACCCAAAGACCAAGTGTTCTCTCCACACATGGAGGACTGTTTACCAGTCGGTCTGAATGTCAATAATGATTACTAAAGATGGAGAAGGGACACAGGAAAGGGATTGAGTGGAGGGAGGCTGAAGGTCAAGGAAGTACTAAAACACAGGCTGGGCATCATAACCCATGCGGGTAATCTCAGCAATTCAGAGGTAGAGACAGGAAGATCAGGAGTTCTGAGTTAGCCTTGGCTACACATAACAAGATTGGGGATGGCCTGGGCTATGAGAGACCTTAACTCAAATAACAACACCAAAGACAAAAAACCAAACATACAAACAAACAAAAAACAGGAAAAAAAATTCCACAATTAGAAGGAATAAATTTTAGTGTTCACATCACAATGGGAGGATTATATTAACCTATTAGGTATTTTAGGAAAAACTAAGACAGGAGTTCAAAAGTTCTAAACAACAAGGAATAAAGAAATATGAAGTCTATTATCTTGACTGGATCAGTACATTGTGTACATGTGCATTAAAATAAATATGCAAATTACATGCCAATATAAACATTTTAATTAAGACTTAATTTTATGTAAAAAAATCTGTACAAAAATAAAAACTAAAAATAAAATAAAATAAAAATAGGCCGGGTGGTGGTAGTGGCGGTACAAGCTGTTAGTCCCAGCACTCGGGAGGCAGAGGCAGGTGGATCTCTGTGAGTCTGAGACAAGCCTGGTCTACAAGAGCTAGTTCCAGGACAGCCTCCAAAGCCACAGAGAAACCTTGTCTCAAAAAAATAAAATAAAATAAAATAAAATAAATCAAAGATATGACTGGCACATGCCTATAATCCCAACAGTGAGATGTTAAGGCAGGAAGACCAAGAAAGTTCAAGGCTAGACTGGGCTATTTATTTAGCAAGTTTCAGTCAAGCCTCAATGACACAGCAAGACCTTGTCCTATAAAATATAAAAACCTAAATTTGTAACATATTGACTTATTTTAAAATATAAACATCTAAATGCAAGACATGTTAGTCAGAACTGCCACAGAAAGCAGTATAGACCAAAGATTTAAATATAGTATTAATATACAAAACACTCCCAACATATAACACTCATGTATACCCCTATCTATTAAAATGTATAATTCTAAGAATGTGTATTTCAACCAAAGATTTCAAACATCTGAAAATAATTTATTTTGGAATTTCTATAGACTAATGTTTTTAAGTGAAATACAATCATAAGTACAGTTAAGTTACCTTGTCCAAAACAAACTTAGTGTCTCCGACAGAAGATAATGAGAGTGTGTGAGATCCAACAAGGGCAAAGTTGCTGGTACGCACAGCACTGAGACCTCCTGGACTGGCCATAACTGTAGAGAAATGAAGCAAAATTTAATTCAGATTGGCTTTCCTAAGTTTGAATAGGAATGGTCCCATAGGCTCATGTTTCAATGTACAGTCTTCAGTTGATAAATCATTTGGTAAGAATTAGGTGTGGCTTTGCTGGACTAGCCTTGCTGCATCCTCACATTGGAGGTGGGCTTTGAGGTTTCAAAAGTCCATGTTAAACCTAGTCTCAATTCCCCCTTGTGGATCAGAATGTAAAGCTCTCAGCTATTGCCTGTTTGGTCCATGATAATGGACTTACCCTCTGAAACTGTAAGAAGCCTCCAATTAGATGTTTTCTTTCCTAAGCATTGCTTTGGTCACGGTGTCTCTTCAGAGCAACAGAACAGTGATTAAGACACTGTAATAAGCAATGACTACTTACCATACACATGAATGAAATCACACTGCCAGACAGAATCTGACTCATTTCCTTTTTCATTCTTTTGTTTGTCTTTTGAGACAGGGATGCACCCCTTCGGCCAGGCAGGCCTGGAACTACCAGTTAGCCAAGAATGGCCATGGGAACACAGCAATCAGCTTTTCAGGTATCGAGATTACTCATAGAACCCACGACCAATGTCCTCCAGTTTTACCAAAGCAAATCAAGGAAGAAATGTGTATATATGTGTGGATGGTTGAATGTACTTATAAATGTATGTACCTGCTAAATTTAATCATTCTAAAACTACAAATAGTTTAGATCCACTCACCTGAAGAATGAAGGTTGCTTTTCTAACAAAAAAAAAAAAAGGGGGGTGAAGAAGATACATTAATTTTCTATTATTTAGTATGCAAATTTAAATGTTAAGTACAAAATTTTAACACAAGGACTACAGTTGAGAAAGCATAAGTATTAATAATTATATTACATCAATAATTATCCTACTTAAGTAGCAATAATTAACATATATTTATTTATCTTGAGAAAGGCCACTTCTGCCTCTTGAGTACTGGGACCCACTAGTACATTTTAAAGATTTCTATAGTATTGAAGGTTTAAAGCTGGTTTGACATTTTGTAGTCTTATTAAAAATGTAGATTTATCAAGAGGATTTGATTTTTAGAAAAATTCTACTTACTGAAGTTATAGATGTGAGAAGTCTCTTTGGAGTAATAGCCTAGAGAAAGAGACAGCATAGCATATTTTCTATTAAATATTGCAATTCAGAGCTTAAAACTAATGTTTGTCCCCCCCAGACAGGTTTTCTCTGTGTAACAGCTGTGGCTATCCTGGAACTTGCTCTGTAGACCAGGCTGGCCTCAAACTCAGAGAGATGCGCCTGCCTCTGCCTCCTGAGTACTGGGATTAAAGGTGTGCGCCACCATTGCCCAGCTAGAAAAAATTTTCTAATGACTTAGGAAGCAAACAAAAGAGCAGTTTCAGAAAGGTGGAAACCAAGAGCCCAATGATTCTGTTTCTCAACCCTGGCCTTTGCAGACCTGCTGAGACAGTAGCACAAAGGAAAGCTGAAGCAGCTGTACACTCAATTTTTAAGCAATATTCACAAAGTAAGATATTCTGCATGTATTAGAAGGGCCGATTACACTTATCATGATCACTTACATACGTTTACACTCTACAGTCATACCTACTTAATGCGGTAAATAGAAATGTGTGACCTGTAACTGATTAAAAAAAAAAAAATCTTAAATCACTGAAACTTCTAATTAAAACTAAAATGATGGTGGTGGCTTGACTAGGAATTGAAGAAAGTGTGCCACTGGGGGTGGACTTTGAAGTTTCAGAAGCTCAAGTCAGGTCCAGTGTCTATCTGTCTCTTTCTCTTTCTTCTTGCTATCTGCTAATCTAAATGTAAAACTCTCAGTTACCTCTCTAGCACCACGCCTGCCTGCCATGTTTCCTACTGTGATGATAATAGACTAAACCTCTAACGTAAGCCAGCTCCAATTAGATGCTTTTGTTTATAAGCACTGCGTGGTCACAGAGCACTGACTTAGATGGCATTCTTCTGACTATATTGCTTTTACTCGGTCTCTGTAATTCTCACCTTGGACTTTGATGCTTTCTTCTTTTTATCAGGGCCTGACGAATCTTTCTTTTGTACCTACACACAAATCCAAAATATAAATACCTTAAAATCTAATATTATTAAGGAAATATATTATTGTTTATTATAGAAAGCTTTTTAACTGCTTACCAAGCTGTAAACTTCAACATTTATTTCAAAGTCATTGGAAACGTCATGCCTGAAAAAGTATTAAATAAAACTGAAATAAAAACTTAAAGTTATGCCTTAAAAATATTGTAGAAACACTTTTTACAAGACTCAAAAGACTCCATTGTATATTTTAAAAAGACAATAAAAGCTGCAAAGAATAATAAAAAAATGGTAAAAACAAATTTTTTCTTATAACACAATTGAAACATTTGTGTTATAAAATCAAGTCATTAGTACTAATAAAGTAAGGCCAGTGAGGTAAGAGTGCTTGCAACCAAGCCCGTACAAACACTTGGGCTCTATCCAAGCCCCACGGAGCACAAGACTCCCTCCCTCCCTCCGCAAGCTGTCCTTCTGCTCCCCATACATGTGCTGCTACCAGCAGGCAATCTGAGAGATTGATAGAATAATAATAGTAATAATAAGAGCAGAAAGATTTTTCAAATTAGATTTTGACTGCAGTTTTAAAATATGTATTTGATACTAATTATCTTTTTATTCATAATAAAATAGTTACAGTTGGGCAGGGTGGTGCACACCTTTAATTCTAATACTAGGAAGACAGAGACAGACAGATCTCAGAGTTTGAGGCAAGCCTGGTCTATAGAACAAGTTCCACAACAGCTAGGGTTTTACAAGGAGAAACCTTGTCTCAAACACCAAAAAAATTAATATTATTATGTGATTTAAAGCATCTATAAAAATAATGATGCAAAATACTGAAGCATTATATATACTGCATATCTATAGTCAAAAAAAGTTATCAGTGAAGAAAATAAATCAGAAAGAAGAGTAAAACTGAAGAACTGAAAATTGGGTTATCTGTTCGTATTTAGAGAATAAACAGAGGCCCAGAAGATGGCTCAGAAGCTAAAGGGGCTTGCTGCACAAGCCCAGCAACTCAAGTTCAATACCCAGAGCTTACATAAAGGCAGAAGCAAAGAACAGATTCTTCTACAGTTATCTTCTAACTTCTACACATGCACCCACATCATGCAAGTATGACCACACACACACTGATAATAATCATAAATAACTTTTTAAAGATTTAATTATCTTTATTTTATGTGTGTGGGAGTCTTGCCTACATGCATGTCTGTGTACCACATGTGTGCAGTGGCTGCAGACGCTAGAAGAGAGCATTGAGTCCTCAGGAAATAGAGCCACAGATTGCTATGAGTTGCCATGAGGACATTGGGAACTGAACCGGAGTCCTTTGGAAGGTTTGCCTGTGCTCTCAACCACTAAGCCATTTCTCCAGCACCTCATAAATAAATTTAAAAAGAAATAAAAAAGAAGAGAAAAAGAAAAAAGAAAAATTTGGGGAAGGTGCTCACAAAAGCCTGTCTCTTCCTGAGGAGACACTGGCAGCTGATGATTACCGGGGTGGGGGAGGACATGGGACATTTCTTTCCATGGGGAAGCACTGATTAAGTTGCCCACATTACTATAAGTAACCCCTTACCCATGGTCCTGTAGGCAACCCTAATTTAAACTCATTAGCTCACCAAATAATAACTATAATAAATAAAATAGGCAAATTAAGGGGATGGGCTCTGTAGCATATTGGTGGAGCACCTGCCTAACACACGAGGCCCAAGGCCTGATTTCCACTACTACTAAAAAGAAAAAAAGGACTGAAAGTAGATGGGAGACTGTGGAGGACAAAGGGACCAGCAGGGATCAGATGAGACAAGAGAAGGTAGTGGGGAGTTTATTTTTTTTTTTGTTTATTGAGACAGGGTTTCTCTGTGTCTTTGAAGGCTGTCCTGGAACTAGCTCTTGTAGACCAGGCTGGTCTCCAACTCACAGAGATCTGACAGCCACTGCCTCCCGAGGGCTGGTACTAAAGGCGTGAGCCATCAATGCCCAGCTCATGGGGAGTTTAATATAACCAAAAATACTTTATATGTAGGGATGAAAATGTCATGCCATTATGCATAAAATGTGCTAATAAAATGCTACATTCATTATAAGTTAGCAAACAAAAATAATATACATTTGAATAATATACATTTGAAATACTATTAAAGTTTGGGGCCAAGTGGTGGTGGTGCACGCCTTTAATCCAGCACTTGGGAGGGCAAAGGCTGGCAGATCTCTGTGAGTTGGAGACCAGCCTGATCTGCAGAGTGAGTTCCAGGACAGCCAGGCAGACACAGAGAAACCCTGTCTCCAAAAAAAACAAAACCCAAACCAAAAAACAAACAAACTATGTAAGTTTGGGATGTAGTTTGCTGATAGAATGCAAGTTTAGCATGCATAAAGCTGAGTTCCATCCCACGCACTACAACAGATAAAACAAGATAAAAAATGTCACTCAAATGCTGAGACTGTCTTAACCCTATAAAAAAAAAAAGTGTCTGAACCATATGATGCTCAATTTACTTACAGAGTAAATGTAGTGGTAAATGTCAGAGCGTCACCATTAAGAGAGTTTGAGGTACTTGCTAATGGTGTGGCGACCATATGTTCAGCTCCAGCTTTTAGCATAATTAAGTAGTAGTAATTTGATGCATCTGTAATAAGTAACCACATTGCAAAATTAGCAAAAGACGATCAAACTTAGCTAGATAGCATTCTGGAAGTCATACAGTACCTGACCCACATAAAATTTATATTTACAATTTCTAAGATCAAATTTCTCAAAACAAAAAGCTAAAAAAAAGACACAATCTGATACCTACAGTCCAGGGATAAGCATCAAGTCTCCTAATTACATAAAGCAAAATAACTTCATTCTACATTCCTTGATTTCTGCTATAATCCATTGGGCAGTAGTTAGCATATACCTCCAAAGGGTAAATTATGATTTGTTTTTTTTTTCAAAATTGAGATTTAAAACTCAGGGATAGTACCTAATAAAAACATGAACTACTTTACTTATTCACTATTTATCACCAAGTAACAATAGCTCAAAACAAATACAAAATTACCAAGTTTTTTACCTTACACTAAAATCAGGCAACAGGAAAAATTGTAACCTAAATTAGCTCATTTCTACAATAATATTCGAACATTTTCTTCATTTGTTTGTTTGGAAATAGGAACTCCTTCTGCAACCCAGGCTGGCCTTGAATTTGAGAAAACATACTTTTGCAATCTTCCAAACTGCTGGGATTATAAAGACAAGCCACCACATCCAGTGAATGTTAAAAAACAAAAAACTTTTAAGTCCTAGGGACTGAATTCATGGACTCACACAGGAAAGGCAACACTACCACAGACTATAGCCCTACCCCAGTTTAAACTTTGTTTTGAGAAAACCAAGTATGACTCGTTGTTCAATCTGGCCTTGAGTTTATGAGAACTGCAGCCTCTGACAGCTGGGATCACAAGTTTGTTCCACCAGGTCCCACTGAAGGCTCAACCATGTAAAAGTCTTACTTTCCACTAAGCTAAAATTCACTTCTCAATTTTTTTTTAAAGACTTCTTTACCCCTATAGATAAAGTTCTAATTAAATAAAAAATGTAAAAGAATCTTAAAACAATTCTTATCCAACACTGCACAAACGGGTTTTCTAGAAATTATCCTGCAGTTTTCAGATCCCGCTGCCACCTTCCTCTTTACTCATTTGACTTCCAAATGGTTTTCTAGTAGGTTAGACAATTTTAAAAGGTCACTGTGGTTATCCAGTCCAGAAAAGAAAAGGAAATAAAATTTCAACAGAAGTATATTCATTGAGTAATTATCACTCATACAACCAATAATTCAAAATTTCCAGAAGGAATGTCTAAAATGGGGTGGATTTTAACAAGAATAAAGTAAAATAAATTCTTTTAAAAGATCTGGCACATAGCAAAACTAATTAATGAAAGACAAAAGGTTTACCCTGGCAAGATAACCTAGGAAAATGTTTCCTGTTATAAAATGTTTAGACTTACTTGGAGATAAAGTGATGTACATAATTGCATGGGTTGGTAACCCTACTATATAAATAACCTTATTATGTAAATTTCCCCTAATTATTCAATTATGAGGAACTGTCTATACAATATGAGGAACGAAGACATCAGACATAAGTTCTGCATCGTAATGCATGCTTTACTAATAGACTAATAGCTTCCTCATCTTTCTCAAAAAAATCAGTCCAGGTGGACTTGACAGTTTTCCATGTGACCCAATCTCATACCTGGTTTCTGAGCGGTGCTGCAGACAAAATCTGCTTTCAGAGGCAAGCAAATCTCTGACAAAGTGACTGACCCTTTGGATGGAACAAATTCACTCTGAGATATGACAGCAGCCTTATTCTTCCTCTGAGGCCCTTCATTCTTCAGCTTATTCAGTTCATCAATCAGAAGTGCTCTCTTCTCAGCTATTTAAAAATACACAAGCAAATATTCCAAATATTAAAACTGTAACTGCTCCTGAATGTGACAGATCATGAAAGCACACTGAAATGGCAACTGAAGAAAAGAACACAGACAAAATCAGTTACTGTCTCTTTGATGAAGGGTTTGGGTAAAATGTCATCTGGTAGTCTGTTATCAACTCCTTACAATGCTTCAGCTTTTAATCAGGTTTCTTATGATATAATACTTTCCCAGCTCCACAGGCTCCACTTGCACCTCAGATGGAGACAGACAGGAATGTGCACATATATGTTCACGTAGGATACTGTATCCAGGTGCATTACACATACTTGCAATCAGAAGAAGTCTTTCTGCTTCAGCTTCCTCCAGAGACCCTTTTCCATGTTCTTCATCAACACAACAGTTCAGGGCCTGGCTGGCCTGATAGATCACTGTCTGCTGCAGATTTATGTCATTGTTGAGCTCCTAGTGAAACCATAGGAGGAATCAATCAATCAATTAATCACCATTACCATTTTATTTAAACTTTAATTCTAATTAACCTGACTGCATAATTTCCGAAGTTTTTAGAATGTAAAGTCCAAATGTTAGTTTTACCGTGCAGGTTTTTAGATTACATATTCTTTAAACTATGAGCATCACACACACACACACACAAAGTTAACAACAGTAAAAGGTTCTGAATACAAACAACAAACACTAATTCAAAGTCAAATTATGCGATGAATCCCAGATGGTTCTGGTAGCACCTATCCATGCACAGCTTCACTGCGGCCGAGCTTCTGAAAAGAGCTTGTATGCCACACATGTAACACCAATAAATACAACCTACAACTGACACTACTGTATTGGAGGAGGCATGGGGGCCTTTGTGCTCAGATATTCACTAGGGGAACCTGGAATGTTAAGCACACAGGGTTATCCCTCCAAGGGAAGGGATGAAAAACCTCTTTATCTGCCCAGAAGGCTGGAGCAGAACCTCTTTCTAGCCTGGGGACCTCTGTGCTATCTATTGTGGCTAGAAACTTTTCCAGCATTGGGCCCTCCCCAGACCCTCATAGTAAATCTGTTTTTCCCAGTCACTCTATAGAACCTATCTTTACGGACTTTACAAATAGTTTTGATGTAGTCTCATCTCATCTACATTTAGCTTACTTATCCTCAAGATTTATGCATGATCTGTCGAGTATGCAGGATTGAGCTAACCATCACCAGCATAGTTCTCAGCAAACTGCGCTGTGCTTACATATGCCTAAAGAAACCCACTCAGGGTCAGACTCCAGAAGTTAGAACCAACACGGGCTACTGAGTCCTGATGAACCAAACTGCCTTTTCCTCCTGCAGCTCATAACTCTACTGGCTGTGAAGATCACTGTATGCTATGAATGAACTTTTTTTATAGATGCAGTTTTCTGCTCCTATAAAACATTAACAGTAAAGTGGGCATGGTGGCACATGTCTTTAATACCAGCACACAGGAGGCACAGGCAGGTGAGTCTCTCTGAGTCTGAGATTCAAGGTCAGCCTGGTTGCCAGAGAGTTCTAGGACAGCCAGAAGTACATAGAAAAATCATGTCTTGAAAAACCACACAAAACAAAACAGAACAAAAACAACCAAACAAAAAGACCAGTAACAAAAACAACAACAAAAGACCAGTAACAGTCCTTTAATCTCAACACTCAGGAGGCTGAAACAGGCAGATCTCTGAGTTTGAGACCAACCAAATATGCATATTTGGTTTCAAAAATTGCTGTTGTGTTGGCTCGAGCTCCATATTGTCATTCAATAAGGGGCTGGGAAAAGGGGGCAGATGACAAAGTGTCTGTGGTACAAGCATGGGGACTTGGGTCCAGATTCCCAGCACACTTTTAGAAAGCCACCAAACAAACAAAAATGTTTTCTTTAGCATAAAACCCCTTGAATACCACAGTAAGTTTCACACTTTACCATATCCAACTAATAGTTATAATTATGCTTTTGGGAGCAAAGAGGGGCTGGGGATTAAACCCAGGGCCTCAGCCGTGCTGGGCTTCACTATACTACAGAGCTACATAGTCCCAAATGATGTCATCACAGCTTCCAGTTTTCTAAGAAGAGCATGTTCCTGAAGTTAAACTGAATTCAGGAGTAACTTAGCTTCCATGTGTTAGATCTCATTCCAGTCACTTGGAGTTGAGATTAGTAGGCCACAAGCTTACAAACTAGTTCAAGAAAGGCCAAATTCCCTTCCCATGCCAGAGCATACCTGCATTTTTTGTTTGATATTAACTTGGCAAGAAAAGACATTATTCTTTTCACCCAATTTTGAAGCAACATCTTCTTTTCGAACAATCACTTGCTTTATGAAAGGGCGCTCTGTCTCTTTGAATCTTTGAGACCTATATGCATCAATGCTTCAGGAAAAGAGTCACTGTTAGAAATCCACTAAACAGTAGTCTTTATCAAACATGTCAACAGAAACCCAATCTCACACTTAAGCATCAGCATCATTTGGTGAAAGGAAAACTGATAGAAGTTATTGCAGGCTTGGACTGCCCACCAGTAGCAGACTTCCTGCCTGGCACACCTGAGGTCCTGAGTTCAATCCCCAGGTCACAAACAGTCATCCCAATCGTACACAGCTCTGTAAACAAGAGCTGAGCTGTAGCACTCCTCATGTCAACCTAAGCCAGCAGAGTGCAGAGAAGAAGCCTTCCCAACAACTTACCTATAGAGAAGATCACGATCCTCAGAACTAATGCTGTCACCAGACTCAGCTCGAGGAACACGGGTTCTCTGGAATTTTCCTGGTGTGGAACTTGCAGCACTTGGGCTAGTGTCTCTCAATTCCAATTTGGGTGAAGAAATTACATTCTACAGAAAAGTAAACAAGTAAATGAGATATTAAGACTTTCACCATTGTTTTTATATTTTCTGTTTTTATTTAGGAGACGTGGTCTTCATTATGTAGTCCAGGCTAGTCTCCAACTCTTAAATATTCTTGCCACAAACTTCTGATACCTGAGGTTACAGAATGTGTCACAACACCCAGGATTTACACACCAGATATTATGGATGTACAACATTGGTATGTAATTCTTTTTTCTATTAGGGTACATATCTAACACATCTACTGATTTATAATAAAAGTAACATAACAGACTAAACTTGTAAAAAGTAAATGAATAAAGAGCATACAAATCAGCAAATCTATGAGATGCACTGAAAGCTGCAGTACCTCCTTCCAGTGCTGGTCCACAGAAAAGGCCCTGTTCGTACTTCACAAAGCTAGACCAAACGACACAGGACCAAATTTCAAAAGCTGAACTAGGGGCTGGAGAGAGGACTCAGAAGTTAAGAGCAATGGCTGACTTTCTAGAGGACCAGGGTTCAATGCCCAGCACACACATGGTGAGACACAACCATCTCTAAAATACAGTCCCAGAGGATCCAATTCCTTCTATGGCTTCTGCAGGCACTGCACACACCTCATGCACCACATTCGCCCGGCTTGTAGTCAGCCAACTACTACTTATCCAAACATCTCAAGCAACACTTTTTATAGGAAAATGCTTTTACAACCAATAGGGCCCAGAAAATGCTTTTCAAAAGTTAATGGAATCCTAAAACACAGACTTGACATACTTATTTCTCTTTGGCAAAAATGTGCTAATTATAATAGTTCCTATATTGACTGATACAGATGTACTTGATTGAGCTTGTTAGAAAAACTTAAAATTCATGGTCTGAAACTGCAACTCTTCTTACACCAACTTAACAATACAAGGCCAGCCTGGGTTACATGAGATCCCGTCTCAAAATAATAAAAATTAAAAAAAAAAAAAAAACAAATCAAGAAAACATATTAAATGATAGTACTTCTAATTGAGCTCATCTCCAGAGCTTAGGCCTCTGAATGCTACTTGTATTTTCAGTCTAAATATAATTATGACTTAAAGATTACATCAGCCCTAGTATGTAGATATATGGCTAATTGTGTTTAACAGTTGAGAGAACCATGTGCTAGAGAAGCCACAACAATTACAAAACACTACAACCAGAATTTGAGTCCAAATATCATGCTTGTTAAAGTATAGCAATATTTAACTGAGGTCATAGGAAACGAATAGTTTACTAGCGTTACTAAGAGAATTCTATCAGATTTACACAACCCCACTATCTAGAGAGTGAAATTCATTTAGCGAAAGTGGAAGAGATATGCAGTGTTATTCAGTGTGTATGTGCAGCCTTTCTCATCTCTAGACTTACCACACCGACTGTCTGAGCCAATGGAGCAAGTAAAGACATAGAAGAGAGATTCAGTGCATCTTCCTGATCCTCCATGTTTTCCCCTCCCACGTGCTCCATCTCCTCTTGGCTCTTTTCCATATCCAGTTCACCTTCCTCTAGGACATTACTGAAGATGTCATTGATGACTTTGGAGCTATTGATGTCATCATCATCCACACTCATCTCAATTTCACGTACCACTTCTGAAAAACATTTCAGTGGGGAGAATCTAAGAACCAACATGGCAGAGGAGGCTGAGTTTCCATGCTGACGAATATAAACAGAGAGGTACCCTAAGAAAAATCACTTCCTAACAACAGAGAGGACAACTTCCAATACATACAAAATCAAGATAAAGCTGGACCCTCATATTTAAAAACATTTAAAAAGTTCCAAAACATTCTCTAAGATATAAAGATTAGATTTACAAAAAACTAGACTTAATGCTTTGGATTTAAGTGAGAGTATTAAGCAGGAACACAAGACTTTGACTTTCAAAAAGTACTCAAGGGCTGGAGAGATGGCTTGGTGTTACTATTCTTCTAGAGGACCCAAGTTCAGTTCTTAGCATTCACAATAGGCAGCTCAAAAACGACCTGTAGTTCCTGCTCCAGGGGGATATAACACTTTCTTTGGGCCTCTGAAGGCACCTACAGTCATGTGAACACACACCCACAAAGATACACACACACAATTTAAAAATAATAAATCTTGACAGGTGACGGTGGTGCACGCCTTTAATCCCAGCACTCAGGAAGCAAAGGCAGGAGGATCTCTGTCAGTTTGAGGCCAACCTGGTCTACAGATCAAGTTTTAGGATAGACAGCCAGGGCTACACAGAGAAACCCTGTCCTGGAAAATAAAATAAAATAAAAAATAATAAATCTCAAAAACCACTTCAAATGAGTCTCTCTATTGTTAGGAGCTGTCCTTTCACACAGTAGTCAGCACAGGAAAATATTAACACCATTGAGAGTAATTTTCAGAGTAACCTGACAGTAACCATTAACAGTACCACAGCTCAGTAGAAGCTATAGTGTATCTTAACTTGAAAAAAAATAAGGTATTGTAAAGTGACAGGACATTTAAAAACAGAGTACTATCCTTACATTACTGTATTATTTCTTATAGTGGATCTAGAGCTAACAAGAAATGAAGACTATAACCAACCAGTCTCCAGTTCAGCCTTTGGGTCTGACGAGCCTTTTAAGGACTTTTCTTCTTCTAAAAACAATGTTATTTTCAAAGGGCTGGACTTTGTCATTTTGTTTTCAGTGGAACCTAAAAAAGTTTGAAAAAAATCAAATTAGTGTGTGTGTGTGTGCTCTCATGTGCCAGAAACAACTTGAAAATGTAAAATTATGGAGTCATAAATCTTCATTAGCAAGCCTCGCCTGTACTTTTAAATATTCAAATCTATAAATGGAGATGTGCTACATCGTTTCCTCTTAACTTCCTGTTTTCCTCTCCACCAAGAGGAAAAGGACAGCAATAGTACAAGTTATTCTTTATTCAGACTGTTCCATAATCAGTTTTTCACCTTAAAAAGAACAACAAAAAAACGTGTCAACAAAAATCACTCAAAAACTAGGTCCAGAAGGGAATTTCCTCAGACAACAGACGAAAAGCCTTAGGTAACACTAACATACTCACTGACCAAAGACTGAGAGTTCCTCTAAGACTGGAAACATAAAGCATGCCTACTCTCCCTACTAGACTTATCATATGTTTTAAAGTCTTATCAAAAGCAACTAATAAAAAGAGATCAAAGGCATCCAAATTAGAACAGAATTATCACTATTTCTGCTCACAGATGGCATCATCTAATGGTGACCACCCTGAAGATGCTACCAAAAAAATTAAGGCAGCACATGATCTATTTAGAATAAATTTAGTAACTTCAGCAAAGTTAAATAACAGAGATAATATCACCACCTAATTGTGGTGGCTCACACCTGAAATCCTAAACCTCATGTGGCTATAGCAGAATTGCAGCATATTCAAGGATGGCAAGGGCTACAGAGCATAACACTGTCTGAAGGATACCAACAATACACACATACAAACATACATCTACACAGGAGTCAACAATCTGAAAATAATTCCAGAGTGCTAATTTCCCTGGCAGCCAGGAAGGCTGAGCACTCATCACTACTGCATAAACAAAGGGGTGATGGTGCACCCACACCTGTGACCCCAGCACTGGGAAAGTAGGGGCAGGAGGATCAGAAGTTCAAGGAGATTCTGGATATAGCTCGGACTTCGTGAGAAAGTAACAAAAAAAAAAAAAAAAAAAAAATTTTAGGAGTAAACCCAACTAAAAAGTCAAAACAATTTTTATCTTAACAACAACAACAACATTCTGCTAAAAGGAAGTAGAGACAGAGGGAAAGATCTGGTGAAACACCAGCAGGACCAGATAATATGTACACTCAATATGATCTCTATTAACATCTGCTTTTCCAGGAGCAGAAAAGCATCCTCAAGTTTACACAGAATTTAAGGACCCCCTAAATGTTCAAAACATTTCTTAAAGAGAACAAAGAAAAGATTCGAATTTCCTTCTAGGACTTATTACATAGCCCGGTTCAATTCAATGGTATTTTCTGCTATGTGTAAGACTTTTGGCTTACAACAATCAGCCTCTCTTAGCCCATAGAGGACTGGGATTACAGACATGGACCACCATGCCCAGCTAAAGCTAGTAGAGTTTGTTATTCTTTTTATCACACGATATTAAAATAAAAATTTGCCAGTTGTGGTGGTTCACACCTTTAATTCCAGCACTCAGGAGGCAGAGGCAGGCCAATCTCTGAGTTTGAGGCCAGAGTTCAGGGACAACAGGGGCTACAGTGTGAGACCCTATGGGAAGGAAGGAAGGAAGGAAGGAAGGAAGGAAGGAAGGAAGGAAGGGAGGGAGGGAGGGAAGAGGAGGGGAGGGGAGGGGAAGGCAGGGGAGAGAAGGGAAGGGAAGGGCAGGGGAGGAGAGGAGAGGGGAGGGGAGAAAGAAAGAAAAAGGAAAGGAAAGTAACAGAAAGGAAAGGAAAGGAAAGGAAAGGAAAGGGAAGCAAGAAAGGAAAATAAAAATTTGAAAGTGTGTGATGACTCACACCTATAATTCCAACACTTAGTACACTGAGGCAGAAGGATTAAAAATTCTAGGCTAGTCTGGGTTACACAGTACAGTAGCATCTGTCCTTTGAGCCATTTCCAGCCATCTGTAGCAGCATACAGCTACAGCTGAGTAGCATGTGACACTAACCTGAAGGCTCTGCACTAGAAATCTCCACTGCAGTTTGATTTTCAGCCACTTTATCTGTTTCAGAAATCGATGGGGTGTTTGAAACAATTTGACGTTTCTTGAGGGGAGTATTCTGACAGTTAATTTCCTACAAAAAACAAATGGAAGAGTAAATTCTATTTCTCAAAATTATCCTTAACTATTTTATTAAATGAAATAAAACTGTTACTAAATAGTATCCTATTTTTTTGAGAATAAAGGAAATTCTATTAAAAGGGTCCAGGCCACTGTTAGTAATTTTCAGTGTGTAAGACCCCCATTGTATAAAATATTTAAAAGACTAAGAATAAGAAAGAATGAAATTCATCAGAGTTCAGTTTTACACAAACCAACTAAAGTGAAAGCAACACAAAACAATTTCCCATCATTTTTCTCTGCCCTTTCCTATACACTTTTGAGACAATTCTGACATGAAGATTCTATTTAATTATCATTTACTCAAAGCATAAAATTCAAAAACAAAACAAAATGAGAAGGATAAAACAGAACCAATAATAAGGAAGAAAACAAGGAAAAACATGCATTGTTTTATATGTTTAAAGACTCTATGATGGACAGGCATAGTTACTGAATAGCACACTGCTAACTTGTAGTGTTCTCAATAATCTGCTCTCGCCCTGCAGTGGAGACACACTTTGGGATGGCCAGACATGGAGGCACACATCTATAATCCAGCACTCTGGAGGCAGATGCAAAAAAGGCACTGCAAGTTTGAGGCTGGCCTGGTCAATACAGTAAGTTCTAGAGCATGCTGTGTTTGTTATACAGCAAGATACTGTCTCAAAAGCCAAAGAGCACACTTTATGATTATAGAGATACTGGAAACCAGCAGGGTAAGCTAACAGCAGCTAACACACACACAGCCTAGGATGTGGCCTGTCACTTACTAAGCATTTCCTTGCCTCATCTGACCCACCAGTCTTCCAGATTAGAACCCACTGTTTCTGTTTTGCCAATGAGAAAACAGGCACAGGGAAGCTAAGGCACCCCTCATCTAGCTCCAGATTAGATTGTCTCTCAAATGAGAAGCTTCTGACATAAAAAAAACATAGAGTAAACTCTTAAATGCTGTATACAGGCTATTTCAAAGGTGAGCAAGAAGCTTGAGAAAGAAAAATTGAGGTACACTGCAGAAAACAGAAAAATGGGTTTCAAAGTAATCATTGAGAAAAAAATGTCTGTGCTATGATATCCTGGCATCTCAAATGTTTGCTAAGTGAGTAAATGACTGTGATGAGAACTGAAAACAACTGTCCTTTTTCTCAAAGCTTTGAAAAAAGACAACAGAAAGTACTGCTCCTTGCTGCTTCCTTTGGCTGTGGGGCCAGAGTTCTGCTTAGAAGCCCTGATAGTTCATGCTTACCAGCTGGGAAAGAGAAATGACATTACTAACTTGAACTGTTATTACAAAGATTCAATGATATTTTACAAGTGTCCACCAGAGACCTGTCACATTGTAGACACTCAATATGCAGACACTCTTCTAATTAATGAACTATTATCCCCATATTTCTCCCCACTAGTCTTACCTGAGGACTGCACAGTAAACAAATACCCTCCACTTTTTAGCCTCAATACAAACCCAGCTCTTACGAATATAGAAACTAATCCTAAAACACCTAAAACAGATTTCTCACCTGAGCAGAGACAACATGATAACAGCACCTCTTTGGGGTCTCATTCTCTTTTAAAGCTCTTACTCCAAGACTTGGCCACCAGGATTCAGTGAACTCCACAACAACAGGCCCCACCAGCAATAACTGGAGCTTCTTAGCATCAGTAAGTCTTCTCTGAACTCCCAAGTACTTCTCTAGCTCAAGACCTGTATCGTGAAGGTGGCACCAAGGCTATCCAAGCAACACCTTGGCCTCTCAGCTGCATGAACACATCAACTCCAAAACCCTTTACTATTACTCCAACTTGGCCTCCTCTGAAACTGGTTTGTGCTTCTCCATACACCCCATCCTAACTGTGCCTCCAATCCCCCCCAACTCTCATTCTCTTATTCTTACTTCTTGGAGACCTCTGGCCATCTGATATTTCTTCCTTGATTCTATCTATTTTCTTACCCAGGGGAGACCGTAGAACTCTTCACTGCAACCATTTCCCCACCAATGACTTCAATATGTTCATTTCACCAAACATCCAGCTCTTTTGTTTGGGAAAACCCTAACCCAAGGACTGACCAAAATGTTCAAATCAACGCCTAGACTCTGGCTTTATCTGTGCAATCTGGTTATAGGACACGTGTATCATGTATGATCTTATAGCCTGTAGAGTTTGAATGAGCAATGTTCCCCACAGATTCATGTATTTGAACATATGGCTCCCCAGGTGGAGGTGCCATGTGGGAAGGTTTTAGAACCTTTAGGATGTGGAGCCGTGCTGGAGGAAGTAAGTCACTGGGAATAGGCTTTGATGGTTACAGCCTCACCTTGCTGATGTGCTGCTTCTTGTTGTGCATAGCCAGCTCCTGCCCCACGCTCTCCCTGCTGGTGTCATGATTCCCCACCACTATCAACTCTGTCCTCTGGAACCCTATGTCAAAGCAAACCCTGTCTTCCTTAAGCTGCTTTCAGCCATGGTGCTTTATCACAGCAACAGAAACACAACTGACACGTGGCCATCAGAATCTCAACTCTACTGTCTTGATCCCTTTCTGATTCTGAGTTACCCCCTTTTCCTTCATGTTCTAATCAAGGCAGAGAAGTGAGCACTCTCCTCTGAAGTGAGCCACTAACAGACACTCAGATCCTGACAGCAGGGCTGTAGACATCAGGGCCTGCAGTTCCCACCTTGCTTTTCTCACAAAAGGTTCGCTCTCTTCATCCTACAACTGTCAGCTAGCTCCTTTTCCTTCACCATAACTTCTTATTAGCTAACTCCTTTCCATCAATGCTAAAACATTCTTAAGTCACAGAAAACAACAACAAACCCAACTCAAACACACTTTGCTTTTTTTAGGCCCTCCAGGCACCACCTCCTTTCTCCCTGCTCTTTAGACAAAACTTCTAGCCACTGCCTACATTGGCTCTGCTCTCTTCACCCTGGCCCTCCTCATCCCTGCCTTCTTCACTCGACACATCACAGCAGACTTCACACTCGAAACCAGAGCATACACAGACACTAAACAGACAAACCTCAGCAGGCTCATTTCAACCCTCAGTGGACAAAACCATTCCTTCCTTTTCAAAAAGGTCTGTCTCCCGGAACTTTAAAATGACTCCCATGTATTTTTCACCCATGTTTTTGGCTACTCCTTTTGTGGTAAACAAAAGGATTTCTGGGGAAGAAAACCTATGAACTCTCTGTTAATATCATGCTCATAAGTTTGGTCACATGCATAAGTAACTGCCATCTCACAAGCTTCCAAGGAATGACTTAGTACAAAGTAATCCAAAGACTTTTGTCTCCAGGGACACAGGAGAAAACCGTAAGAATCTGGCACTGTGGCAGCCAAGTGACTGGTCTTCAAACAGAAAAGTCATTGGCAATACCAAATGCTGCTAAGAAGTCTAGTTAAATGTCTGAAATTGATCAATGAAAAGCATGGGAGAACGTGAAAAGAAAAGGAGAGGGAAGAGAAAACAAAATGGGGACAAGAAAAAGAAATAAACCTATGGTAGTGATGATCACACTGGCCGACAGGCAGTAGATATTAACTGGATACATGTATCCAAGTGTGACTGTGTTTGTGTAAGGAGGGACTTATTGAAGACTAATTAGAATAAAGAAACAATTAGGAGGCATATGGACACTGAAAGGGTTGCAGACACTAAAAGCATCATATGTGGGTGTGCTGGGTAGTCAACTTGATACAAGTCAGGGTCACCTTGGAAGACTGGCCGACAGGCAAATCTGCGAGGCATTTTCTCGATAATAACTGATGTGAAAGTGTCTACCCCACAATGGATGGTGCCATCCCTGGGCAGGTGGTCCTGGGTTATATAAAAAAAGCAGGCTGTGCAAGCCATGAAGAGCAAGCCAGTAAGTAGTCTTCCTCCATGTACTCTGCTTTAGTTCTTGCTTCCAATTTCTGCCCAGACTTTCCTTCATAATGGACTAAAAGGTGTAAACCCAAATAAACCCTTTCCTCTCCAGGTTGTTTTGGTCAGGGCTTAATCACAATAGAGAAGCACACTAGAACAGTAGAAAAGCTAAATAGTCACCAATGAGAAATGTAGATTCTAAGAAGTACTTTATACCAGCATCTAAGTAGAGCACTAAGAATCTGAAAGTGGATAAGAACTGACTGGAAGGTCATCAGTGACAAGGCTGTAGAGTGGGATGGAAATGGAAAATAACACAAGAAAAGAAGAGTTATGATGTTTCAGCACTGGAGAATGGAAAGGAAGGTGTTTAAGATTTATTTACAAAGCTGGGCATGGTGACTCACACCTATAATCCCTGAACTTGAGAGGCTGAGACAAGAGGGTTACTTAAGAGTCTGTAGCAGTCTAGGCTAGATTGAGAGACCAACCACCCTCTCAAAACCAAAAAATTAAAAACTACTACTACTTTAGCACATCAGTGACATTTCTTATTCACATTACCTGGTGGGCTTCTAGCTGTTTGCTTCTTGGCTTTTCATCCTTTTCTGCACTCCATAAATTGCCCTTGTCAAATCGACCACGAAGACATGCTAGCTCTTTTTCACGTTCCTAAATCCATTAAATAAGGCAGTATTTTTTACACAAGAATCAACAGCATTTAAGAATATCCAAATACCAGTAAACATTTCTTAAAAACTAAATATGGTAGCGTCCAACTGTAATCCCAGCACTTGGGAGGTGGAGGCGTAGGGGCTGTTTAAAATCATCTTCAGCTACAGAGCTAGATTGAGATCAGCTTGAAATCTATAAGGCCTTAGGCAAAAGAAAGATAAAAAAAATACCTTTTCTTGCCAAGTGGTAGTGGCGCACATCTATAATACCAGCACTCAGGAGGCAGAAACAGGTAGATGTCTATGAATTCAAGGCCAACCTGGTCTACAGAGCGAGTTCCAGGACAGCCAGGGCTACAAAAAACAAAACAAAAACAAAACAAAACAAAACAAAAAAACCCTGTCTCCCCAAAACAAACAAAAACTTTTCTTGTATTCAGTTATAAATATAAAGATTCACAACACATGTCGAATGTGATATATTAGTTTGTTGTCCATTTTGCAGCAAGAGGTACAGAGAAGCAAAGTGCTGTTGATCAAGGCCAGGGTTAGTGATCAAACCTGTATTCCTAGCACATGGGAAGCTGAGATGGAAGGACTGCTGAGAACATAGTGCTAGCCTGGGCTGCTTAGTGAGTTCCAAGGCAGCCTAGGCTACAAAATGAGATATGTCTTGTAACTAGAACATGTCCTCAAAAGGATTAACTTTAGTTCAGTCAAAGAGACTCATTATTTGGCCTGGAAAGATGGCTCAGTAGGTAAGAGCACTTGCTGCTTTTGCAGAGGACCCAGGTTCAGTTCCAAGAATCCAAAGGAGGCTTGCAACCATCTGTAATTCTAGTTCTAGGGGATCTTCTGCCCCCTTCTAGCCTGTGCTGTCACTGCATGCATGTGGTGTACACACACACACACACACACACACACACACACACACACACACATGCGTGCGCGCAGGCAAAACATCTTCACACTTAAATACATCTTCTTTTTTTTTTTTTAAAGTCTTATATTTATCTTAGGTTCCATGCTGAGGTCATGTAGTTAAGTACTAAAAGCAGAAAACCTTACCTGTTTGAGCTGTTGTGCTAAATGGGTAGTAGATGAACATGTGTTTTGCTTGAATAATCTTTCCTGGATGGCCTTTGTATTTGGAGTGATATTAGGGGTTCTAGTTGATGCTCTAAAAGCTGGACTTTCTTTGCTGTGTTCTTGACAGCGCTCTCCAAAGCGTTCCAGAAAAGGCTTAATTCCTCTTCCTCCTATAAAAACACAGTTTTGGAATCTATTCAAAATAACTAACAATTATCATTCCCAAGGGAAAAATTCTAAAACCCACTAGTTACCAAATGCTTTGCTTCTAGGAATAATCATTTACAAGGAGAAATTAAAATTGTTCAAAGATCCTATTAAAAACATTCTCTAAACTTTATCTTTATTATCTTAAATCATGTGTACATATGTGTGTCTGTGTGTGGGTGCCCATTAGTACAGGTATCAACATAGACCAGATGTCAATTCCCCTGGAGCTGGAGTTATAGGCAGTCTTGAGCTGCCTGACATGGGTGCTGAGAATAGAACTCAGGTCCTCTGAAAGAAAAGTACATAACCTCTTAACTGATGAGCTATCTCTTCAGCCCTTATGTCCTAAAATATATAGGATTTAGTTAATTAAAGAGGGGGGGAGCAGCAAACTGGCTTAGCGTTAAAGTGCTTGCCACAAAATCCTGAGAACCTGCATTGATTCCCCAGAACCCTAATAAAACCGCTAGATTTAGTGGTTTATATCGTACTCTCAGACTCAGTACTCTATGGTCAAATGGGAGGAGGAGAAATGGCTGGAAACTCAACAGCATAGGAGAGAAATAACAAGAGACCCTCCCTCAAAATAACATGGTAGAAAGCAACTCCAGATAGCTGTCCTCTGACATTCATGCAGGCCATGGCCTTTGAATATGCACATAAATTCTTTCTTTCTTTTTATAAGAGTTATGCAACTAATAGTCTTAAAAGAGTGCTATTTGAAATAGCATAAAGTACTTTTGTAGTAGGCCAAATGGGATATATATGTACACACACACACCTATATATATCTCTACCTCTACCAAAAGGTTGTATTATTTAAAGTAGAGTTAATTATCAGAGGTTGGCAACACTTTCCTGTGAGGGACATGACAGTAAGTAGGGGTTTTGTGGCCATATGGAGTCTTTCACGACTCTTCAATTCTGCATTTAAGAATGAAAGGAGCCACAGGAAGATATATAAACAGATGTGGCTATCATAGTAAACTTTATTTGAAAAGGAAAAGAAATAACAAATAGCAGAATTCAACATATAGCCACAGTTTGAGGACTATGTGTCATTTATTACCACTTCAAGTATATATAAAACTAGAGTTTAATACAAAGAAACATCTAAATTGAGTATCTGAGGTGCTGGTAATGTAATTCTGAATATATCTACCAATAAATGAATACAAACATTGCTTCATGCCTAAGTCTTAAGTCTTTAGAAAACAAGAAAAAAAAGGAGAAGCTAGTCTGTGGGGTTGGAGAGATGGCTCAGCAGTAAAGAGCACTTGTTGCTCTTACAGAAGAGCTGGGTTCAATTCATTACACCTACATAGTGGCTCACAACCATCCATAATTCCAGTTCCTGGGGACGTGAAGCGCTCCATTTACTTTGTTGGGCATCAAGCACACGATTTAGGCAAAATAACATACACAGCAGAAAACAAATAAATCTTTTAAAAATAAAATATTTTTTTTTATTATTTTAAAAGAACTAAGCCAGGCGGAGGTGGTGCACGCCTTTAATCCCAGTACTCAGGAAGCAGAGGCAGATGGATCTGCGTGTGAGTTTGAGGCCAGCCAGGACTGTTACATAGAAAAACCTTGTCTCAAAGAACCAAAAAACAAACAAAAACCAAAAACAGTCTGATTCCAAAGGATATTGTAATTACTTCTTTTTTCCTGGTTTTGTTGTCTTCACCCCACCTACAGCCTGCAGGAGTGCTATAGATTAAACCCAGAACCTGTGAATGCCTGGCAAGTGCTTTACCACTGAGCCCTACCTCTTGTTTCCAATTCTCATTTTAGCACATCTAGAAATTGACTGGCTTTCTGCTTGCCCTACTCTTGTCTCCACTTATAACATGAACTACACTCTATGGAAAGACTTGTGTTTTCAGGAAATTAGACACAGGCTGGGGATGTGGCAGTTTGTAGAGTATGTGCTTAAAGGACTCCAAACCCCCACGTTTAAGCCCCAGTACTGCATAAACTGCGTATGGTGGTGCATATCTGTAATCCCAACACTGGGTAACTGGAGGTAAGAAGATCAAAAGTCCAAAGTCATCCTTAGCTAAAGAGTAAGCCTGGGGCACATAAGATCATGAGTCAAATAAATAAGGAGATACACTTTAAAAAAAAAAAAAAGTGGTGGGTGATGATGATATGGCTCAATGGGTAAGAGAGTTTGCCCTGCAAGCATGAAGGCCTGAATTTGAACCCTCAGCATCCGTGTGAGGAGGGAAAATGAAACAAGACAGGCATGGCTGCATGTGTTTGGAAGGTAGAGGTATATGGCTCCTGGGTATCAATGGCTAGCTAGCCTGGTCAAATAAAGTTTTCAGTTTGATGGGAGACCCTGTCTCAAGACAGTAAGACAGACAATGTCCTCACACTCCCACATGTGCACATAGGCGTTCCCACATACCCAGATGTATGCTAAACACAGGTCACAGTAAATTCTGTCACCATGTATGTATTTTATGCTAACTTTTTCAGACCTGTGTTTCTCAGTCAATAATAATGTGGAGCACACCAGAAGATATGTCACAAGATAAATGTAGCATGTTAAAGGACATCAGCTTACTACTATAAGAAATGTAAAACTGGGGGCTGGAGAGATGGCTCAGAGGTTAAGAGCACTGAGTGCTCTTCCAGAGGTCCTGAGTTCAATTCCCACAACCACATGGTGGCTCACAACTATCTGTTAGGAGATCTGGTGCCCTCTTCTGGTGTGCAGATATACATGGAAGCAGAATGTCATATACATAACAAATAAATAAAATCTTTTTAAAAAAAAAAGAAAGAAAGAAAGAAAAAAGAAATGTAAAACTTTATTTATGGCCAGGCGTTGCTGGCACACACCTTTAATCCCAGCACTCGGGAGGCAGAGGCAGGCGGATCTCTGTGAGTTCGAGGCCAGCCTGGTCTCCAGAGAGAGTGCCAGGATAGGCTCCAAAGCTACACAGAGAAACCCTGTCTTGAAAAACAAAAAACAAAATATTTATGTATACAGAGTATACACATATGCAAATATAATGGAAATACAGTACTCTATATGCACATTAGCTCTTCTCTATTGTTGGGGGTGTGACATAGACAAGTGGATCCTAGGAGCTCAATGCCCACCCCACCCCCCCCATAGCCAAGGTAACATTAGACTTATTCCAGTCAGAGTAAAGACTAGAAAGCAGTCATACTTAGTCATAAGACTGGTTCTCCTCTATCTCCCTAAAATGTAGGTTTAATTCTATGTGTTTTACTGTATCAACAAAACAGGGGGAAAAAAAAGTAGCCTGGTCATCCTGTTTAAACTGTTGCAACATAACAGATTAAATACTTTAACCAGCAAACGGCTCGTGTTCACTAATGAATATGCTTTCAAGCAAAGCCCAATAAGAAAGCTGGGCCTAGGGGACACAAAGCTTTTTTCAGTTCAGTAGATAGGAAGTAAAGATAGATACCAATGTGTCAAGGTCATCCTTGATGCATAGCAACTCCAGCCCCAGCTGGAGAAGAAAGATATCATCTAGGACTCTACAGTTCACAAGAAGAATTTAATGCTGGGAACCAGGCATGATGATAGAAGACTAATCCCAGACTCTGGAGACTATGGGGATCTCAATATGGAGACCAGCCTGGGCTACTGCAAGTCCCAGACCAGCCTGAGATACATAGGAAGACCTTGACTCAAAGATGAAAAACAATAAGTGAACATTAAATAAAGTGTTGAAATGAGCATACGTAACCTGGTGTTACAGCCTTGTCTCTGGGTTGGGGCTGCAGACAAACTTCCCTGCTTGCTTCCTCTTTGGACTGAAGTGCCTGGGGTAAAGCTGGTTTCTCCCTTGGCTTCAATGCCTCAGTTTTCAGAGGACTAACATTTTTGGGAAGTAGTTCAGGATTTTGTACCTCACAGTTCTTAACACTGGGGACCAGTGTAGCAGATTTCACAGGGGAAGATGTCGCTTTCTGAAACATGACAACATATAGGGTAAACAGTAATTCTCGTCACAGTGTAGATGCCACAAAACAGTTCAAGTTTCACTTCCTTGGTAGCCATTATACAAAACTTACCAAAAACATTGTTCTTTTGCTTTCTAATATATCGTAACATGATTTTATTAACTTATAAAATGCTGTTATATTTAAACTCTAGGTCATTTAGTTTACAATATATTGACATCTAAGTAGTAATCAGGGTGGGGTCACTCCCAGTTTTATAAAAAACAAATTCTCAAACTATTATGCTGGTACTCTTTTGTTTGTTTGTTTGTTTGTTTGTTTTTCGAGTCAGGGTTTCTCTGTGTACCTTTGGAGTGTGCTGGTACTCTTAATAAACTTTTAAATTATGTTATATCAAACTATTTCATATGTATTTTTAACTTAATATCAATTCAATAAGACATGAATTGAGTATTCCTAACTCAAAGTACTTAGTTATCAGAATTGAGATTTCTTTTAAAATACTTACAATAAGTATCATTGGGATGGGATCCAAGCTTAAACACATACACACACACCTTAGACACTGCCTGGAAGTAATTATATATTATCTTTAAAAAAAAATAATTTCAGGGGCTGGAGAGATGGCTCAGAGGTTAAGAGCACCGACTGCTCTTCCAGAAGTCCTGAGTTCAATTTCCAACAACCACATGGTGGCTCACAACCATCTGTAATGAGATCTGGTGCCCTCTTCTGATGTGCAGATACATATGGAAGCAGAATGTTGTACACATAATAAATAAATAAAATCTTTTAAAAAAATAATAATAATTTCAGCCTGGGAGCCCTTGGGAGGCAGAGGCAGGTGGATCTCTTGACTTAAGGCCAACCTCGTCTAACAGAGTGAGTTCTAGCTAGAACACCCAGGGGTACACAGAGAAACCCTGTCTCAAAAACCCAAACAAGAAAAAAGAATTTTGATTCAAGATGGGTGGGAATACAGCTCAGTGACACAGTATTTGCTCAACATGCAGGAAGCCTGGAATTCAATTACCAATACCACAAATAATAAAATGCATGAAGCAGTTTCTTGTGGAACTTTCTACTTTTTAGCATCTCAAGTGAGCACTTAGAAGGCTTCATTCAGATTTTTTAATCATTTCCAATTTTGAATTTTGATATTAGGAATGTCCAAATACCACAAGTATCATAGACTTGAAAGTTGATTATAAAAAAAAAACTAAATTCAGCCAAGAACTATGCTAAGTATTTATGCATATTAGCTTATCATTCTAATAACTCTGCTCCCAGATTTTATATAATAAGGAAAAATAAGGCTTTACATAAGTTGCTTGTACAAAGCCACATTTCTCACTATGTTTCAGAGCTGGGATTGAAGGTTCGTCTAAGTCCAAAACCTTTGTCTTCACTGATGGGCCATCATCAACAATACTATCAACATTCTTTTTCCTTTTTTTTCAACTACTGAGGTAATATTACATACATAAAGTAAAATTTCAAACACTTCAAAGGGTTACAGAGAAAGTGTTTCTGCTGACATTGTCGATGTGCCTTCCTTGTAGGCAATGACAAATACAGTTTTATACTCATTTCAGAAATATTCAGTATCTTATATTTATACATTCTTATAAAGGTGTTATAATAGAGGGATTAATTTTAGTTTTCCCCCAAATGGCAAAAAAGAGACCCCCATCACACACTGTTATTATATACATAAGATTTTTATAATTTAATTACCTTAAATTAATATAATTTCAGTCATGTTGATTTTAAGGTTAATTTATTTTAATTACCAAATTTATGTTTTTCACTTTTTATAAAACATTCTAAAAACACATAAATATGCTGTACATATGCTACATAATATATAGCTACATTATCATTTATAACAAAAGTTTCAAAAGACCAAAATGGTATTACTCACCACAGAGCTGGACGCTGAGGCTTTAAGCAATGATCCCTCGACAGCACTTGAAGATGGGGCTTTACTGACAGAGGCCTTGCCATCCCTTGGGGAACAGCATGTAGCTTCCTGCTGAACACTGCTACTATTGATGCTAGCAGATGCTCCACTTGCAGAGGAAGATTTGGATAAACAAGCGGTACCAGGCTGTTCTTGTACACTATTTTGCTTTGCAGATGAGTAGCTTACATCATCTTCCCAGGAGCAAATTGTTGCAGCAAGGTTGGCCAGACGGCCCCTTCTTCCAACTGGGGTAGCTGAAGCATTTGACAGGGATGACTTGGTAGGTGAAGCAGCCTTTTCCTCAGATGGCATTGGTGAGAAGTGTGAGCTTTCTGATACAACATCTGAAAATGTTTTCAGAAAAATCAAAAGCCATATTCAACAGCTGTTCTTACCTATAATCATGACCACTTCATACAGAATTTTAAAATGAGATTGATTGTATTCATAATATTACATTTCTTAAACGGTACTTAATCCAAACTGAAACACTCTTAACATGTACTTTTTACAGGTATTTTTTGTTTGTTTGTTTGGTTGGTTGGTTTTGATAGATTACAGATGCTGTAAGATACTATTCTAGGGCTGGTGCTTCGGTAATAGCTCACTGGATAAAGTGCCTGTAACTCAAGCATGGAAAGCTGATTGTGAATCCTAACAAACTATGTCAAGCTGGACACAACAGTGAGAACACGTGTGCTAGGGCACATATATGTATCATAGACAAAAAAATGGAATTTTTACTATTTAAAAGGTACTACTGTATATTTCACAATTAATTCATGGAGTTATAGTACTGAACAATTTAAGAGTGCATCCTAGAGAAACCTTCTATTCTAAAGGATGAAGTGGACCAATGACACAACACAAAGCTCTAGGACAACACAGGGGTCGACACCTACACGTCCAATACAGCAAGCACTCACCACATGTGCTCAGGGGAACTGAGAAATGGAACCCTATTTTAATTAATTTAAACAAAACAGTTATTTATGGTAAGTGGCTATTTAGATAGCATTTTTATTTCATTTGGAGACAAAGCTCAGATAGTAAGAGCTAATGAAGGATCTAGGCCTGTATATTCAAAAAGCATGTATATAAATAAAGGAACCAAAGTTTGGGGCACATCATGCTCTACACAGACAATCAAGAGAAGAGGCCAACCCTCCTTACTCTCTTCTGTTCAAACTTCTAACCCGGCTTGAAATTTTAATTCTACCCTTCTAAAACCTCAGGAATATTGTTCCAAAAGATCTTCCTTCCTACAAACTCTTTTCAGCACATAAATACTTGGTGAAATAAGTTCATTCTACTTAAAAAATAAGGGCTGATAAAATGGCTCCGTGAGTACATATCAACAGTTCTCAAGAGGTGGGTCTCAATCCCCTGGGGTTGAAAAACTCTTTTACAGGGTCACCTAAGACCATCTGCATTATCAGACATTTACCTTATGATTCCTAACAGTAACAAAATTATAGTTATGAAGAAGCAACAAAAATAATATTCTGGTCGGGGGTCCCCACAGCACGAGGAACTGTATTAGAGAGTTGCAGCATTGGGAAGGTTGAGAATCACTGTGAGACGCTGCAAGCCGACAATATGAGTTCCATTCCCCAGACCCACATGGTGGCAGGAGAAAACAGAACCTAGCAAGTTGCCCTCTGAACTCCACATGAATGTTAGACACACACACACACACACACACACACACACACACACACACTTAAAAACAGTAAAAATAAAACCAATAAAATAAATAAAAAAGAGAGGGGGCTGGAAAATGGTGGTACAAGCTGTTAATCCCAGCACTTGGGAGGCAGAGACAGGCAGATCTCTATGAGTTTGAGGCCAACCTAGTCTACAAAGTGAGTTCCAGGACAGGCAAGGCTACAAAGAAACTGTCTCGAAAAACAAAACAAAAGGGGTTGGGGGGAGGGCAGAAATCCCAAATTCTCTGTTGTCCAATACTAAACAAAATTTCATTTAAAATGCACAGTAATGAGGGGCTGGAGAAATGGCTCAATGGTTAAGAATACTTACTGTGCAATTATAAGAACTGTTATTCAGATTCCAGCACCATATAACAAGCTGGGCAACCTGTAAACCTGAAACTCCAGCTCTTTCTGTCCTCCACACAGGCACAGATATGCAACTGCATGCATATACATACTCAAGGAGACTCATATATGCCAACAAACATACATGTACTAAAATAAATGTTCTTTTAAATTTTTGATGCAGGGGTGCAGAGATGGCTCAGTGGTTAAACAGTACTTGCTGGTCTCCCAGAAAACCAGGGTTAAGTTCCCAGCACTCACATGGCAGCTTTCAGTGAAACTTTTTGTTTTTTGTTTTTTTCAAGACAAGGTTTCTCTGTAGATCAGGTTGGCCCTGAACTCACAGAAATCCACCTACCTCTGCCTCCCAAGTGCTGAGATTAAAGGCGTGTGCCACCACTGCCCAGCAACATGGCAGCTTTCAACAGTCCCAGGGAATCTGACACCCTCCTCTGGGCTCAACAGGTGCCAGTCATACATGTGGCGTACATTTATACGCATATAAAACTGGTAAGTTTTTACATTAAAAATGAAGTTTATCAATTTATTCATATTACTTCACCTTAGTTCTGGCTATGCACCCTAATTAAAGGGTTTTATAATCTAGAGACAAAAGTACACTTCTGAGATACTAATCCAAAATTTTTCCTATCTACATTTTCTCTGTACCTCAGTTCCTTTTATTTATGATATGGGTATTTCAGGAAGTCATTTTAAGGATTTTACCTAACAAGCAGGAGATCAAGAAAGTCAGTCATGACAAAAATAACACTGATACATAACTGCTAACTTGCCTGCATTTAGGTTCAATCACTTATCTGTTTCCAGAATTATAGTATAAGAATACACTTTACAGTTCAATATACTGGGAGTGGGGATATTTTGTTTTGACATCTTTTTTTCCCCAATCAAATATCACCTCACACCTTAGTGATAAGTGACCCAAGAAATAGCATTTCCTGATAGAGCTGAGGGTCAGTACTTTTTTCGCTGCAAACAGGAAGTAATCTGTTATTGGAGTGTTTCTGTACTAGTTCAAGAACCTTGATGCCTGCTTCAGTGAGAATGTTTCATTCTCATTCACTGTTCTTACGGATACACCTAGTATACAAATCATCTCCAAGCCAAGAATATATACACAGATAAAATAAAAGCACTTACCGTTCGTGCCACTCCAGGCTGGCCTCAAATTTATAATCCTCCTGCATCAGCCTCCCAGGTGCTGGGATTACAAGCATGTAGCACCACATCCAGCTCCAGGCTGAATCTTACCAAAAGAAATTCAGGGACCACCCCACCCGCATCATTTAATACCTGCTGTATCACTATCCCAGTGGCGCCGTTGCTCAGCAAGTTTTTGCATCCGTGTTTTAACTGAGGAGGCAGCAGATGCTTCTGATCTTGAGTTCAGCCCCCTGCCCGTGCTGAGCAGCGATGGTGGGGCAGCCACAGAGTCACTGACGGCAGCTGGTGCTTGGGGCTGTGCCTGAGGGGGTGCAGGCCTTGGAGAACAAGGTTTTGCAGCAGTTGGTTCAACAGGCTCTTTATTTTCTAAGTCCAAAACTTCGACTTCAGTTTTGTCAGAACACTGTTTTTTTGATGGTGATGGTTTTGTACAAGATTTCTCTAGATCCAAAAGAACAGCAAAAATACACACTGAAACCTCTGCAGTTTCACAGCCTGAAAAACTAAAGGTCAGCACTTAACAATAAGGGATCAAATTTCTCTAATACTTTCACTATAAGAAAAATGCAAAAACCAACGCCCGGCAAATCACTTTATTTTAAGGAACAAAAAAATCAGGCCTGGAGAAATTAAGTTGTAGAAAACAGGTTTTCTGTTCTTTCTTTCTTTCTTTCTTTCTTTCTTTCTTTCTTTCTTTCTTTCTTTTCATGGACAATAGCTAAAGCAAAGCAGAAGAGCACCTTGACTAAGGCTTGGAAGAGGAGAGGACTCTGAAGGCAACTGAACTATCTCTATTCTATACCAAACAAAATCAGTACAAATATTTAGCATCTCATAATTTAAACTTCTATGAACATCTATAAAGTAAGTGAAAAATCCTAAAGACATCATTAAAAATAAAGCATTTCACTTCTACCCAAGAACTGGTCTCACTGTACCTCTTGAAATGAGTGTGGGGGGGGGGGGTAGTATGTGTATGCGTGCTCTTCTGTGTGGCACAGATGTGTGCAAGTGAAGTCAGAGGTTGACATGAGTGTCTTCCTCCATGAACTCCACCTTATCAACTTATAACCAGGAGCAGGATTTCTCTCTTGAACTCAGAGCTCATCAATTCAGCTAGTCTAGATCACCAGCTTGCTGTGACAACCCTATCCCCCACCTCCTGTGTCCTTGCCATGCATGCCCCAGAATTTGCATGGGTGCTGGGAATTCAAATTTCAGTCCTTACAATTAGATATCAAGTATTTTATCCACTGAATCATCTTTCCAGGCCAGGACATTAACATTTTAAACAAGAATGAAAGGCCAGTGAGATGGTTCAGTAGGTAAACATGCTTGTTGCACATTCCTGATAACCTGAGTTTGTCCCCCAGAACCCACATGAAAGGTGAAGAGAAAAAACCAAGTCTATGGAGTTGGCCTCTACACATGCACCAGGGCACACTTGCCCACACATACAATATATTCTTTTAAACAAACAAAAGATTGGGAGATGCCCACTGGAAAGATGGTTCACTGGCTAAGGTCACTCTGCTTTTCCTTCCATAGGACCCAAAACCCACATGGCAGCTAACAACTGTCTACAACTCCAGCTCCAGGAGTTTCAGTGCCTTCTTCTGGCCTCCACAGGCACTGCACACATGTGCTGCACAGAAATAAGTGCAGGTAAAACATTAATATATATAAAATAAAGATATGTAAATCTAAAAAAAAGTTGTACATTTTTTTTTAAAGAACATGAATTTTGCCGGGCATTGGTGGTGCACGCCTTTAATCCCAATACTCGGGAGGCAGAGGCAGGCGGGACTCTGTGAGTTCAAGGCCAGTCTGGTCTACAGAGAGAGTGCCGGGATAGGCTCCAAAGCTACACAGAGAAACTGTCTCAAAAAACAAAACAGCCGGGCGTTGGTGACGCACGCCTTTAATCCCAGCACTCGGAGGCAGAGGCAGATGATCTCTGTGAGTTCGACCAGGCCAGGCTGGTCCAGAGGGAGTACCAGGATAGGCTCCAAAGCTACACAGAGAAACGCTGTCTCAAAAAACCACAAAAAAAAAAAAGAAGAACATGAATTTCACAAACAGCCAACTTCACTGGCTTTCTAACCAAGTTCTCTACTCTGGCTTCTGATAGATCTGAGACCTGCTCTAACCTTGGAAGATACAGAAGGCTGCTCTTGCCCCCAGAGGCTGCTGTATTTGTCTCCCAAAGACCAGCTCTGTTATAAGCATAATGAAATGTTTGGGGCTATGTCCTTCAAAATCCATGCTACTTTTACTTTCCCATAGTCTTACCTTCACCCCCTGATAGGGGCTGCTGATTACTTGCTTCTGAAAGTGGCTCTCTGCTTCGCTTGGCATGTAGTGCAGACCTTGGGGCTGCTATGGGCCTCTCAGCCATTTTTCTCTGAAGATTCTCTCGTCTGGCACGGGTTCGTTCAAGCAACTTCTATATTATACCAGTGTTAAAACACAGGTTAGCCAAAGGTTCACAAAACCTTAGATGCCTTCTAAAACCAAAAACTGTTATGTAGGATAACGGTCAAGCATTTCAAAGGTAAAATCCCAAGTAATGGAACTAAATACCCTAGCATCAAGATTACCAGATTCAATATAAATATTTATAAGCATTATGTGAAGATACCTACATAAGATTGTAAATGCTTCAAGTTTTCTGTCCCAATCAAAAGGTGTAATCTGGGACTGGGGTGATAGCTTAGTGGATAAAGTGCCTGCTATGCAAGCATAAAGACCTCCAGTACCCACATAAAGCTAAGCATGTTGGCATGTATCAGAAACTGCTGGATAGGGGCAGGGTCAGGTTGGGTGAAAAGTCCTGTCTCAAACATAAGGTAGAGAATGACTGAAGAAGGAGCATGTCCAAACCTTGCCTCCATGTGCACACACATGTACACCTGCACACATCCACGCAAGCACATTCACACACAAAGGAAATCTGCATTACTGCATGCACAGCCACATAAGCACATCTTCAAAGGAAATCTGCATCACCATTCTTGAATCTGGGCTGGATGGCCAGACCTTGTGATTTGCTTTGACTAATAAAGTATGGCAGAAGTAACACACTATGTGATTTTTCAATGCTAAGTCCCAAAAAGTCTTGCAGTTTCTGCACTCCCTTTCTTGGACTGGCACTGAAGGGATACTAGGCCACTGGAGCATGTGGCTCTGGCAGGTCTTGACCTTCTCCCTCATCCCCTCTGCCTTGCCAAAAACCATTAGATTACATCCCTAGAGCTAGCCTCCAAGGTCTATTCCCATGTCAGGTCACTTCCTCCACCTGAGGCTGACTACCAAAGTCTAGGAATCAGAAGCCTCCTTTGGTTCATCTAATTAAATGTCCAATCAAAATTAAACTCATTCCCCCAAAAACAGGTTTCTCCCTTTCCCTTTATAAACAATCATTTGCCTGTGTGCCACATCTGTCTGCTCTCTATCCAGAGGCAGTCCTTTGTCACAGACATCCCCTTCTTCTCTTAAGAATGACATCTGCAAGGTTATTTGCTGCTGTTTTCTGCCTGAGTCAGAAAGCAGCCACTTTAACTTTTCTTCCTCACTTAATAAAGGATCTCTCGGTGAAAACCGGTATTTGGGTGTGGTTTGTGGGTCTCCTTCAGGCACATCATTTGAAAAGTTCAATCTAGCTCCAGATATTTTTCCATGACACTAAGAAACACTACATGACTCCAGGCAAAACCAACAGAAGAGCCAATTGAGCCCAACACAAACTCCTGTTCCACTGAATAAAAAAGTGGTTGCAGGAGTAGAGAAGAGGGAGGGAATACGGTGAGATTGCTCCAAGCTGCAAAGCTTGACACTAGAATTCAATCCCTGGAACCTACGTGGTAGAAGGAAAGAACCAATTGCTTTCTGAGTTCCACACATGTGCCTGACATGCATGCACTACCACGCCCCCACACAAGTAAATAAATGTAATTTTGTTTGTTTACATGTAAATATGCACACATGCATCCACCTCAGTGCCCATGGAGGCCAGAAGAAGCAGATGTGAGCCGCTCAATGTAGGTGCTGGGAACAGCAATCCATGCCTCTGGAAAAGCAGCTTCCTTTAACTACTGAGTATGTGTCTGCATGCATGTGAACAGCATGCACCCCTGGGCCCATGGAAGTCAGGGGAGGACACTCGTCCCTGGAACTAGGAGTTATGGATGGTTTCAGATTACCACATAGATGCTGGGAACTGAACCCAAGTCCTCTGCAAGAGCCAACATGTGCTCTTCACAACTGAGCCATCTCTCCAGCCTCCACCATTGAAATAAAATTTAACAGAAAGTAGCTGCTGTTTAAGTCAGTATGCTAGAGAGGAAATGGTCCCTCAAAAATGCTTGTGTTCTTGGACCTGCCAGTGATACCTTACAGCAAAAGGATTTTGCTAATGTGATTAGGAATCTTGAGGTGTAACATCATCCTGGGTTATCTGAGTGACCCTTAGTTACAGTGGGGAAAAGCAGGCAGAAAGATCAGTCAGAACAGACGATGACAGAAGCAGATGTCAGAATGCTGAGAATGAAGCTTTGAAAATGGACAAAGGTGCCAGAAGTCAAGGTATGCAGAAAGGATCTAGAAGTTGGAAAGGGCTAGGAAATAGATTTTCTCCTAAGAGCTTCCAGAAGGAGTGAAATCTTACCCACACTAGACTCTGACTTAATAAAACCCACTTCAGACCTCTGACCTAGTGAACTGAAAAACATTAAGTGTTTAAGTCACTAATTTGCTTTTCAGACAGGGTCTCCTAGAACACATTATGTAGACCAGGCTGGCTTCAAACCCACAAGAGATGCACTAGCCTCTGCCTCCTGAGTGCTGGGATTAAAGGTATACAACATAAAGCCTGGCTAAAGCCACTGAATTTATAATAATTTGCTACAGCTTCAAAACTAATAGACACTCAGATCTCAAGTTGTGAAAAGCAGCACAAGTGACTCAATAGGAAGTCTTTCATAACACACTTCACAAGGAGAGAAATTCTAAATAATTTTGTGTTTTATTAAGTAAATACTAATATATAATAAAATAGCTATAAGTTCAAATCTTAGCCACTGGATAAAATCATGAATAATCCCCTTTTTTCTTACTCTGAATCAACAGACATTCCTATTTGAATCAGTGTGGTATAAAACAATTTATTCTCCCTCAATTGTACACAAAGGACCTGCATATATAGAGCAGCAATTAATACAGACTTGGGGATTTAAGCTATGGGAAGTCAGCCGTGGGATACAAACTAGTTCAAGCTAGCCTGGTCTCTAAAGCAAGACTCCTTCTAAAACAAAACAAAGCATGAGTTAAACTTGGGTGAAGGCACAACTCTCTGAATTTAAAAATATCTTCTAACTTAAGGTTCACTGAAAGAAGTGACAATCAAAATGCTATGCATTTAAAATATTTATGAGCCCAACACCTTCATCATCTAAAGAAATCTCCTTCAACCAACTCAAAAGTAATCAGAATGAAGCTAGGCGACGGTGCTTCACACCTTTAATCCCAGCACTTGGGAGGCAGAGGCAGACAGATCTCGGTGACTTTGAGGCCAGTCTGATCTACTAATTGAGTTCCTGGACAGCCAGGGCTGTTACACTGAGAAATCCTGTTTTAAACCCCCCACCCCCCAAATAGTGATCAGACTGCTATACAAATTGGTAACGGTTTGATAATCTCCTTTGATAAAACATATCCCTCTGGAAAAGCAAAACTACCCTAACTATATGCATCCATGGACATGCCCAACATTCCATTCCCTGCAGTCAGCACTGAGTCAGCACAGTTTCAGTTGCCATGAGCAATGAATGGTTCACAGAAGAATGTCATTTTGCCATTCAAACACACACAAGTGCTCTATTGTTTGCAATGGAGTAAAAACTCATATGGCAAAAGATAGTTTTAAATACTCTAATTAACAAAATAAGGCTAATAAGTGATAAAGATTTTTTATTGAAGAAATAATATGCCCTCTAAGTGACATAAATGTAAGTGCTCAGTATTTTAAGTAGATCTTCCTTATATTGCATTATTTAAGAGTAAAATACTTTCTTCCCCCCCCCCAAAAAAAAATTCCAGCCAGGGGGATAGGGTGAAGGACATAAAAAGGAAAACAGTGAGAGAGAGGGATGACTTAAAACAAAGCAAAGTGACACATATGTATGAAGTGTTGTAATGAAACCCACGGCTTAGAATGCTATGTTAATTTTTTAATCACACCTTCAGTTGGGCGGGGTACTGTACACCTATAATCCTATCACTCTGAGGATGGAGACAGAAGTATCAGGACTTCAAGGCCAGCCTTGCCTACATAGCAAGTTTTACAGAAAGCTGGAGATCAGCATGGGGTACACGAAATTGTATCTCAGATGGGGTGTAGGGGATGTAGCTCAGTCTTAGGAGACCTTATGTTTAATCTCTAATACCAAAACCAAAACTTTTGATATGTTAATTCAACAAAAACACTTTTAAATACATTTGAGGTTGGAGAAAACATCTCTGAAAGAATACAGCCCACTTAGAACCCACACATTCTGAAGGGAAACACACTTAACAGGAAAGTGCAAGTGAAATATGTGATTTGGCAATGAAGTTCTGGAGATGAACTTGCAAACTAGAAGTTAAATGTGGGTCTATAAAGCAGAAAAGGCAGGCAAAGCGAGAACATGCCAACATCAGGGCAGCAGGGAGAATAAAAGCCCAAAGACAAGAGTACTCACCAGGGTTGTAGCATTTAAACTAGAGTTAGTAAGTGAATAGGCCCTAGTGTCCTGCCATTAATTTTTTTTTTCTGTTTTATGACAGCATTGTTAAGGAATCACCCTGGGAGAATTTTTTTTTAAATAATTTTTCAAATAATTTTCTGTGCTGCATGGTTTTGAGTAAGACAATTGTTGAAAAAATCATTTATACAGACATTCAGTCCTTGTTAGACAAAAAAAATCCTATCAGAAATTCATTTCACAGTAAAAAAACTGTTATGAATGCTATCATTAAGCACCTAGTAGTTGGAACTCACTTACAGTGTCTTCATTACCAACTAAGGAAAAGATGTCAGAGCTGTGATTCCAACTGCAACGGCTTTTCATAATATAAACTACCAGTTAAGGCATGCACATTTCCAAATATATTCTAAAATGACTGAAACAGACTTTTTTTTTATTTGAGTTTTATACTAGCTTCAAAAGGGCATTTTTAAGTAAAAATATAAATTTCAACCAACTTTCCAAAGTATTCTGTTAATGTCAATTACTAATTACATATAGCATTATGTAAAATAATCTTATTCTTTTAGTATTAAGACTGTCATTTTTAATGTCAATATAATCTAGAATTGTGGTCATTTTTACTGACATGCAAGTTTTAAGAATAAATGTTTTCAATAAAAAATTCAAACTCATAGGCAAACAAATATATACCTCAAGACAAGGTTTCTCTGTGTAGCCCTGGAACTTGCTCTGTAGAACAGTCTGGCTTGAACTCAGAGATCTGCCTGCCTCTGCCTCCTGAGTGCTGGGATTAAAGGTGTGTGCCACCACTGCCCAGCTGACATAAACAATTTTTTTCAAAGTAATTTGGTGAATAGTCATCCCTATTCTCTAAAGCTGCTACAAAGTATGTCCTGGGTGTTTCTAGTAGAATTTTTTTCAATTCATTTTTTTTTGTGTGTATGGATGTTTAGCTTTCATTTAATTATGCCTGGGTACCTCACAAGTATCCATTTGGTGCCTGTGGTGGCCAGAAGATCTCCTGAGACTGAGTTACAGACTGTTGAGACTAGAATTGAGACTGCTGGGATTTGAATCTGGAAGAGCAGTCAGTGTTCTTAACAGCTGAGCCATCTCTCCAGCCCTCTTCTACAAGTTTTAAAGTTAACAAAGTGCTGTTTCCCTAAAGATAACTAAGAACTTCAAACACGGGAAAAGCATAACTGCCATGTCAAAGCCTTTAATTGTTGAAACCCTTAATATCTTGGGCTTAGCTTAGGGATCTAACTACTAAGTACACCGCCCAAATTAAATTACTACTATCTTCTATAACACTATACGCCGCCCACTTTGCAAAACTCACAACGTAGTCTTGAAATCTGCACAAGCGCTTAAAGAAAAGAGAATTGAAGAAAACGAGGAACTGTCCTGGAATAAAAGAGTGGGCAAACAGCAGCAGGAAATTCCTAATGTCAGTGCACAGCTGCAACATGAAGCTAAAACTAAAGATAATAATAGGGATTAACAAAGTCATCTAGACCCTATTTCCAAGGAAGAGACGAGGAAGGTCTTGTTGGAATGACACGCTACATAAACGCTCAACAGTTTCTAGCCTTACATCACACCCTAATAATTTTGGTTTATTCAATCAGCACTGGTTCCTTTGACTCAGTGTTAATTCTGTGCATGAGACTTCTAAAGTTAGCAGAGCAGTGACATCTGAAGGAACTCGAGGCTAAAGCACCTGCTCACTTGGACTGGGCTGATTTCATCTCAGGATTCTTAAGTGCACACAGCTCCTCCGGGCCGGCGAAGGCCTTTATCACCTCCCATCAGATTCCAGGCACAGAGAGCCAGTCATTGGGCAGACTCCACCCTGAAAACCACTCCAGCTTTCCGGCAGGGCCGGTCCCATCAGGTCCCAAGCCGCACTCTCTCGGGAGAAGGCAAGACGGATAAAGGAGGGAAGTACCCTTCAAGTCACCGGGACCCGAACGGCAGGGTCAGGCCCGCCGCTCACACCCAGTGCCAGCACTTGGGAGGCGGAGGAAGGCCAGCCTCGACTACATGGAGTTCGGGGCTAGCGTGGGGGTTTTGAGGCCCCGGCTTCCCTGGCGTACCCCAGGGTCTGTGGCTCCCCCCTCCCCCCCCGTTTCCTCGGCAGCAGCAGAGCCTGGGAGGCTGCGACCCCGCGGCTTCCGCCCGGCTGCCCGCTCGCGCTGCGCCCGCGCCGCGCTTGCCTGCCGGTGGGCCGCAGGCTGACAGCCGGCGCGGACAGGGGTCCGCAGGGGTCATGGTTCACAGCGCCCGCAACGTCTCTCACCTCCGTAAACGGGTCCATCGCCGCAAGCCTCACGTGTGGACGACGAGACGGTGGGCCCGGTGGTTCAAATTCAGAAAAAGGAAAGAAGTGAGTGCGGGCTCGGCGCAGCTCCTGGACGAAGGCCGGAGGCCGGGCGGCGGGCTCTCCCACACCCAGTCGGTTCTACCCCTCAGCGCCAGGGTCTGTCGGCTACCACGGCCGTTCAAATTTGAATTTCAGCGCCCCGGACGGCGCGCATGCGCGCGGGGCGGGCGGGGCCCGGCAGCGTTTGTCCCCGCCCCGGAGCCTGGTCACGTGACACGGCGGGCGGAGCTCGGCCCGGTCCCGAGCTGCAGACCTCCTCCCTTGCCGTCGTGGGTGGGGACGCTCCTGCCGTTGAACTGCCTAGGGAGAGCGCCTGCCGCCACGCACGCACCCACGCATGCCCTGGCAGGTCCCTTCGCGGTCCAGTCAGCCCCCGCCGCCCCGCCTTCTTCCTCGGCGGGCGGTACGAGTCCGGTGCGGGTCCCGCTGGTCCTTGGGCCCAATGTAATTTGTCTCCCGCTACCGGAAGAGGCATTGGACTGCAAGCTTGACCCTTCCGAGAGGCCAGTCTGGTGGGTCCCTACACTCACATCCAGTGACTAGTTCTTTGCCCTTGGGGAAATGAGATAACAGTAATAGACCGTGCGACAAGTTCATTCACAGGCCCTTCTGTACCCAGCCAACTGTACCAAATGTCAGCACTGAGAACACTTGAGAAGCCTTCTAATTCAATTTTCCACATTTGAGAGAAGGGGCCATTGAAAAGCCCCTATTTAGACTCTGATGAACCCCCCCCCATGGAAGGCCTCACCATCCATGGGAAGCAGAAAGGATATGTGATAGGTAGGGTTTTAGTGGGGTGGGGGGGTGGGAAGGGAGGAGGGGAGGGAGAGGGAACTGGGATTGGCATGTAAAATCATCTTGTTTCTAATTCAAATTTAAAAGAAAAATCTGAAAGAAAAAAGAAAAGCCCCTATTTAATAAAAGTTCCCGTTTACCAGCCGGTAAGCAGGACAGAAACTACTTCCCCAATATCTCTTAGTCTGATTTTCTTTTTCCTCTTCCTGGGAGGGTCTTTTGGAAATCCTTAGTGTCTATCCTTTGACCTTCAGACCCAGGCTTTCCAAGAAGCAGTGTCTAAGAAAACAGTGCTGTCAGAACCCTGGTTGTAGAACTGTTTGCCTTTATACTCAAAAGGGTTGAGAAAGCACCCAAATCTGCATGTTCTGTGTGCTCTGTGTGCCCAGGTAGGTGCTGTGAGACCTAAAGTCCTTAGGAGAGTGTGTTCAAACAAACAAACAAAAAAGTTACCTAGGCCTGTGGTAAGTTCATGTGTGTTAAATGGGTCCATGACAGATCATCCCTTATTCTTCAGAAAATCATTGTGAACGTGTTGAAGGGTCAAGTCCAGAGTCAGAAAGCTAAATAAAAATAGGAAGCTTGGGACCGGCAACAGGGTTCATGCTATGAAGGCATTTGCTGCCAAGCCTTGGGACCTGAATTCTAGGCCCAGATCCAGTTCCAGTAAATTGTCCTTAGACCTGCACATACACAGTAAATAGATAAATGTAAAACAAAAAAATCTATAGATTATAATATTCTGAATTCTGGGCATGGAATTAGAGCAATTTTTTAAGAATTCAGCTTCCACAGTGGGATCACAGAATAACAGGAATAGTAAACTTTCTCAATTCTTTGGAGCTGGGCTAATGATTAAAAAATGAGAAGAGCTTTGTCTAAGTGTGTCATGCATGGGGTTGTTAGAATATAAGTTAAAATGTGCTACCTATGAACTAAAAGGAAAGGATGCCTGAATCTTTTTCAAGTACTGAACAGTAAAGGGGTGTGTGTACGTGGGGTGTGGCTGTGTATGTCAGTCTTGGGAATGAGTCATTGGAAATTTATGGCCGTTGTGCCTTCTGGCTGTTGCCTTTGATCCTTGGTTTCATGATAAACAACAGTTTGATTCTAGCCAGCTTGAATAAAGCAGTATAGCTGCTCTAAACTTGTGTCTTCTCTCTCCTTACAAACCCTGAAACACTGGCCTTTGATTATGTCTTAATTGTAGTGGCAGTAGGGATAGCAGCTCCCAGCAGCACACTGTAGTTCCCATGTATGAAGCAACTGGTGTATGCCAAAAAACCATGCTGTTGATCCAAGGCCTCCCCCACACATTGCTGCAATTGTCTTCCTAATATGTCTATGTGAATTTATAACCCATGTCAATTCACTTTATGTTTATAACCTGGAATAATTTTTTTCATTAAAAAAAAAATCATTGCTGCCTGAGGTGGTAATGCATACAATCTCAGCACTTAGGAGGAGGAGGCAGAAAAATCAGGAGTTCAAGGCCAACCCCATCTAAGAAAAGAAGAAAAGAAAAAAATACATACAGCATCATATTCATTTAAGATGATAACCAAGGGCTGGAATGATGGCTCAGCAATGGAGAGCCATTGGCTGTTCTTCCAAAGGACACAGGTTCAATTCCCAGCACCCTAATGGTGGCTCGTAACTATCAGTGACTCTAGTCCCTGAGTCCAGTTCTCCCTTCAGCCCCTATAGACACCAGGTATGCACATGATACACAGAAATACATGCAGGCACAACATCCATGCACATAAAAATCTTTTAAAAAAGACACAGATCTCAAGCAGAGTATTTCCTCTCTGGAAGATCTGTTCTTTCAAACTGTAGATAAAACTAATGGAGAGCTTAAAAAAAAAAAAAGGCACAAAAATGTGGTAGCATTACCTTCATCAAATAAATACATTTCCAGCTAATTTTTCAAAATTCACATACATTCTCACAACTGACAAAATAGTACAATAACTTAGATATTTGTATTTTCACAGAGAGAGAAAAGGCCAGGACCTGACCAGAAGGTGGTGGCGAGAAGGATCAAACAAAAGTTCTCCACCTCAGGTTATCTGGCTGACTGGCCACTTCTTCCCCCCATCCCAACCCCGCCCCGCCCCCCCCAGACAGGGTTTCTCTGTATTGCTTTGGAGGTGGTTCTGGAACTCACTCTGTAGACCAGGCTGGCCCTGAACTCACAGAGATCTGCCTGCCTCTGCCTCCCAAGAGCTGGGATTAAAGGCGTGCACCACCAACACCCAGCTGCCCACCTCTTTTACTTGTGTATTGTAATGAAGAAATAAGAACCATCAAAAGTTAATATCAAGTGGGGCATCGTGACACAAGGCTGAGGCAGAATGATTTCAATGCAGGACTAGCCTTGGCTACATAGTGAGTTCCAAGCCACCTTGGTTTACCTAGTAAGACCTTGTTTCAAAAACAAACAGTATTCTATATATGGATGGGCATGGTGGTGTGTGCTTATAATCCCAGCCACTTCAGATTGACTGAGGTGAGAAGATCACAAATTTGAAGCCAGCCTGTGTCATTTAGTGAGATTCTATCTTAAAAATAACTAAAAATGGGCTTGGGTGTAGTTCAATGATAGAGTGCTTGTGTAACATGTAGGAGAAGCTCTGTGTAAAATCCATATTACTAGGGGTGGCAAGAAAGTATTACCAAAAATGAACTATGTTATTAATTGCTTTTAGCATTGTGTAATCTTTATGTAAGCATTTCGACGGCTCGAATAGGATGGATAGGGATTCTGGCACTTGGGAGCCGCAGAATACTGAGTGTTACAGCTCAGATGGAAAGGTATTCTGGCAACTGGGAGCCAAGGAATACCACAGGTCCTAGTTAGCATAGCAGCTTGCAGCCCTGCTTCAGGGAAAGGCTTCCCCAGTGTATTGGCTCTACTTGGGCTGCTTCGGCAGGAGAGGGTTTCCAGCGAAGAGGTTTTCCCCAGATAGCTGAATGTAACAACACTGCTTCACCAGGGGAAGGTTTCCCCAGCAAAAAGTGTTACAGCCCTCCTCTGCTCTGCTCTGCCCAGAGTCTGGCGATAGAAGGTCTCACCCAAACCTCATTCAAGAGATTTATTGGGAGTGAAGAATCCAGGAGAGTGACTGCCCTCTGCCAGGGTGGAAGAGGACAGCCGGGAAGCCACAAGCTGAACAGACACAGGATTTATATAGGGCTTCTTAGGGGCGGAGTTTTTCCAGGGAGATTTCCAGGGTGAGGATTGGTCAGATTTCAGTCCCTGAGCTCAGAATGGCTAGATCTCCTGCTCATGTATTGGTTAGTTTTCTGCATAGGTTTAGAGTCAGATTTGGCTCTGGTTTCAAGGTCAAAGTGTGTTTCTATCACTGGTCCTTTTTTAGCCTTTTGGCTCTAATTTTAGGTTCAGGGTGTATTTCTTTCACTGGCTCTGATTCCAGGACCAAACTTTGTTTCTTTGGAATGGTTTCAGGGTCAGGGTGCATTTCTTTGGTTCTGGTTGCAGGGCCAAAGTGTGTCTCTTTGGTTCTGCTCAGGGTGTGTCTCTTTGACTGGCCCCTTTTCCCTATGCTTTTCCCTTTTCTAGTTTAATGAGTGAAAATGTTTCAGTTTCTTGAGGAAGAGTTGCCTGTGTCCCAGAATAGCCTCAAAACTTCTTATGACCTGATCTTCCTTCCTCGACCTCCCAAGGGCTAAGACTACAGGTGTGACACCATACCCATTTTACAGTGTGTGTGTGTGTGTGTGTGTGTGTGTGTGTGTGTAGATATATGGGTATATGGATTACTTTTCCATACTCACATTTATTTCATAAGGCTATTTTCACAAAACTTAATTTATAGTTTTATTTATTTATTCTTGGTGTTTTGAGACAGGGTCTCACTGTGACCTCAGACTCACAGAGATCTGTCTGTCTCTGCCTCCTGCTGGGATTAAAGATCATCACTACTACTCCTAGATCAATACCCATATTCTTAAATGAGTATCAAGAATAAATTTCCCTTAAATTTTATTTAAGGAAATACATCAAGTTATTATTCTACCATGTCAAAATTCACTCATTAAACCTACAAATGCCAGAGTTGATTAAATCCATTTCACTTTCCTTTCCCCTACTTTCAAGAATCTGCCATCGTCCCAGTTGTGTTAGTTCATCTTCTGCTATGACAAAACATCAAAAAATAGTCCGTGTGTGTGTGTGTGTGTGTGTGTGTGTGTGTGTGTTTTGTTTTGTTTTGTTTTGTTTTGTTTTGAGATGGCCTGTATATTGTTCTGGCTGTCTGGGGCTGAATTATAGATCAT